TATTTGAATCATTAAATGGACACACTATATCATTATCTCAATCATTTTAATTAATATATATTTTTAGATAAAATAGACATTATTAGAAGATTATGGAAATCTGAGAAGTTTTTCATATGTGATTTAACTATAAGTACGATACCCCTCCAATGGCTAACTACTTAAGAGATATTATTCTTATCTTTTTAAGATACTCAAATAGTTGAGTGAGTAATTCTACAAAAAAAATAGAGAGAAAACATGAGGTCTTTACTAACTTGTCAAACTACATGAAGAGATTAAGTCCATAAGTATTATTCAATAATTTAATAATCTTTGTTGACTTGTTCAAAGCTACAACACCTTCAATTATCCACTAGTATTTCAATGTAAAGAAAATAATATAAATCACATTTCAATCTTAATCATCTTCATGAATATTTATAATAGACTCTAAGTTAATATTATTTTTCAGATAACATCTCACATTGAAATTTTTATTTATTTATTATGAGATAAACTTGTGATTAAATTTTTACTTAATCATTGATGGGAGATGAACACACTAATCAGCTCTTCAAAACTCCTATAGCTACGAATCTAGAAGAAAAATTCTATGATTGATTCTAAGGGAACTAAACTCAACAATGAATGATTGTGGTTGGACAATTTATCTGTGGAACCCAAAAACAAAGACCTTTTTGGAGAGTGGACATAAAGAGTGTGTTAAACCACTACAAAATTTCCTAATCTTATATGTATTAATCAAAGAAGCTTATAGGGCTTGGGTCCTTAAGAATAAGATCAAGATTTGGCAAGTGAGTGGACTAAACTTGCAATTTGAATCACATCAATTTGACTTCCCTTTTTTTACCTAAGTTTAGTAACCTTAACCCCAATAGAAGGTTGAGGAGGATGCACAATACTATCATGAAAATAGATAAGACACAACTACATAACTATTCATGTGACATAGAATTTCCAATGACACAAAGTCATAAGTACAAACCTAAAATGACCTATTGAAACCTCTCTCATTCTCAAATCTAATGTAGTTGTGTCTTAAATCTAATGAAGTGGGGAAGAATGAAAATTAACCTTAACTTCATAAGGTATGAACTTTTTCTATCCTCAAAATTACAAGGACTGATTTGGATGAACCATGAACCGACAAGGGTTGCTTGAATTCACAATTAGTCAAAAATCTCATAAAGAGAATGGAAATTCATAATATTGGCCATCACTTCCCTAAGATTACAACATTTAGACCTTTAAATTGGTCAAAATATGTTTCAACTAACCATAAAATCATATCAATTAACGAAAACATAATCAAAGTAAATAAAAAACTTAAAACTTAAAAAATATAACATATTGTCCATGTGTTTTGGGCCTAATTCTTTGAATCCAGTAGTCAAATTTATTTTGGGCCTTCAAAATTTTGTAGTCTACAATATTATGTTTTCAGGCTACTTGAGTCCCAAATATTCACCCTTTCTTTTAAAGTGATCTTCTATATCAATTTCTCTTCCTTGAGAAATACTCACCTCAAGTCTTCATCAATTTTGATATAATGATTATGGGCATTGGCAAAATTGAGATTAATAGTCTTTGACTTGAACTTTATTTAAACTCTAAAAAATATGCACCTTTGCAAATATTTAACGAGTTAATTTTTTTTTCTTGTTTTTGATTAACTATTCCCTAATAGTTATGGTATGAATAGAAGATACTTCTTTAAACTTCTAAGATTGATATGATGTGAGATATTATGAAAGTTTGAAGACAAATCACATGACCATGATTTATCTTTTGGAAGACGATGATTCCAATTTCAAAGTATCTTGTTTACCACATTTTTTTTGGAGTTGGATGAATAAAATCTCTTGGAAAGAATTTTTCAATGCAAAAACATTGTATCTTGATTAGTTATAGATTGTTTTATGGTATTGAAACAAACCAAGTCTCTAAAACATAAGTTACATACTTTACTCCATTATAGATTGTATCTTCTTTTGAGCCTTTTTAATTTTTTTAAGTGATCCTAAATCATTTTAAGGGTTTTATTTTAAAATTATCAACATATCATGCACATCCAGAAAGTTGAGTAATACCTTCATGAAACTAAAGAATGTGACCTAAATAGGGTAGACACTCATGAACTACATCATTATAAACCTAGATTTTTAAAAAAGAAACCTTGTTTTGATACCACTTGACCTAATTTTTTTTTACCAAAAATAGAAATTGAGTCTTAGATCCACGAAATCTAAACAAGTGAAATATGAAAATACAGTTTTGAATTCACAAGGCATGAAATTTCTCCAACCTTGAATCTATGAGGATTGATTTTGATAATCTTTGAATCCACAAGGGTTAGAAAAAATGTTCCTTAAATCCACAAGGGTTGCTTAAATCCACAAGCACTTAGAAATCTTACAAAGATAATAAAACATTCTAATATTAGTCTTTTTTTTAGTGTGACCACCTCTTTATGACCAATGAATGAGAATGTAATTCTTTGCTATATTCTCATATATATCAATTTTCAAACCTATTACTACTATGACCAAATCCACATAAAGAATGAATATTTGTGCCCATAAAATTTTCATGAGTTGGGCATCTCTATATAGGGTGTTTCTAGTGATTTCCATTATGATCAATATTCAAATATAAATAATGTTCCCCTGTTGTAACCTTGCAATAATCTCTTTCAATATATCATGTATAGCCTGAAACATTTTACCAACTCTTTCCTGAAAATCTTAAAAGACTACACTAAATAGGGTGCATTCTCACAAATGATGTTCTTAATATGACTAACTCCTAATCTACATCACATCTTCACTATAATAAACCTGATATCATTTGATGCAACATAAGTTGTTAGATAAATGATATTTGTGCCATATGAATTCAAGGCCTGATTTCATTCTTTCACAATTTCCACTACATCAAACTTGATGTAAGACTACTTCAAAAATTAAGACCTACATAGCCTACAAATGTAAAAACATAGATTACAAATGCCCAATATGTTTTTCAGCACCTTATTCAAATAGTCTAGCCCAAAGTCGTGTAGAAAACTTGTCATATCTGCAGAGTTTCAACTTTTGTGCTTGCTTTCACTATTATCTTATTTTTAAATATTTGATCTAAGTTTTAATGACAAATAGAATTAATTTCAGCCTATTAAAGATTGGAATGCTTTAATTGGAAGAAGGGTGAATAATACAATTTTTTTTATCTGAACTTCTCTCTTTGTGAGATTTCTAAGTGTTTGTAAATTCAAGCAACCCTTGTGGATTGAAGAGCATTTTTTCCCTTGTGGATACAAGAATCATCCAAATCAATTCATTAGTTCAAGATTTTAATTCTCTTTGTGAGATTTCTGGGTGCTTGTGGATTCAAGTAAGTAACCCTTGTGAGTTCAAGCATCATTTTTGCATCCTTGAAGAAATATTAGAAAGTGTTCACTTTTTTCAACTACATAAACTCTATGAGTCATTTGACCCCAAATGTTCAAAGTAATGCACTATATGAGAAGGTTCTGATTTGGATTATTTCTCATTGGAAGTCACAACCCTTGGAAGAAGACAGGCCATCACCATGTGTGGCATCTTCCTAAGGCTCCAGAGGGTTAGTTTAAATAGAGTTGTGGAGCGAAGGGGGTTGGAGGCACACAATAGACTTGTCGGCCACTTCTCATTCATTCTCTAATCCAAATATCACTGCTGACCAGCAAGGCTAATGGAAGAGAGAGAGAGAGAGAGAGTAGTATTTTTCTTTTTGCATAAAAGTAAATTTTGAATATCATTAATTTAGACTAAAAAATAGATTCTACTGCTTGGTAAGTTCTCAAAGAAAACAAAATCCAAGGGAAAAGATGAGACATTAATTATGGTGATTTACAGGGTGCTAAAACCAATTCATTAAGGACCTCACTAATGAAAAATACAGTGTCCCAAACTAATGCTCATGGCAGAGCCATCTCATTTGACACAATGCTCCTTAGAAACTTGGAAGAGCCAAAACTAATTTTCAAAGGCAACCATGGACTCTTCTACCTACTTGGATGCACCCTCTTTTAGAATGCGAATTACATTACCTGAAATTTGCTCATAATCTTAGAGAAATCTATGGTACCTAGAAAGCATGCAACTTTTTCAAAGTAGTTGGATTCTGCAAACCAAACACAATCATAATCTTTTTTTTTTTTTTGAGATCACAAGGGTTTCAAAAAAACCCACTTCTAAAGAAAAAAACTCCTAAACGTGTGTACTTATTGCTGATTTTCTGAGGCTATGATTTTGTAAATTTGCAGTATTAGACTATAGTTATGACTAGAATTTTGTTTGATTGCGTCTCTTCAGTACACAGAAATCCCAAACTCCTCAGATTCGAGCCTAGAAAAATACACTGCTCAATGTCCAATAGAAACTTCACGGAGATATTTGAAAAAAATCCCTTGTTGGGACTTGTGAAACATACCACAACTAATATTGCTGAATATCATTTGAGAGGAAGTAGCTAGTGAAGAAAATGTTCAGCATTTTTTATATTTACTTTGTATTTCTAAGAATGCCACTCTCATTAGTAATTAAACTTTTTTAATAAGTATTTTTATTTTTAGTACATAAAATGAAGATAATTACGTAAAAAACAACATTCGACCTTTTGTTTCTTTCAATTATTACACAATCAATACATTCTTAACTTATTGTTCTAATTTTTTCCATGTTTTCAGACACAATGACCTTCTTTTGTTATCCAACAGTAAACATCTTTCACTTGAAAAGGAAACAGAAAAAAAAAGGAATGAACACTAATATTTCAAAGGAAACAAACCAAGCCAATCCCTCGGCCATAATTGCAAATGAATTTCTCAGACACAAAAAAAAGATGTAACCTATTGTCAATCTACGCTAGCACAAGCCAGGGATTCAACAAATACCAACCGAACGTAAAACATCACACAAGCATTATGATGATGAACTGTAAATGGAGTAGATACCGCATCAGATGTCACTGGGTGGTTTTAACCTGATCATCCTCCTGACTCGATCCTTGTCCGTGTTCTCCAGCATGCCCTGGAAGTATTTACTTTGTAAGACAAAATAAACACAGGATATGAAAGAAATGAAGAACGATGATAACCAGAATTGAATCAGATGAATACTAATCCCAATTCAGACGAGATGTTCGTCCAGACCTGGATCTGATCAGATTGATCACATCACGAGATCAAACACTTAACCCAGCTGAATAGGGTAAAATCAGTAAAGAATTAGGTGCAGAGAATATGATGGTTAATGTTAACCAAATTCAGACGAGACTAACTGAATCGACACCATTGATACTCCAGGAACTAGGTCCAATCTGGCCAAAATGATAAACCTGTCTGAATTGGGCTGAATCAACCAAGAACTGGGTCTAAGTTATCGACATCTGATGAGCCATATTGATACCTTAACCGACCAAATCAGGTGGTGTTGGCTACCAACAACTTGGGCCAAATGAAATCGACTGGTCTATGCATTCCGTGGTCATGGATGAGAAAACTGAAGCTGAAAGCATAAACAGCAGGTCAGGACTGAGCTTTGCTGCTGGTACTGCAGTAGATGACTATTCATTTTTCTTTCAGCAGGGCCATACATACTCTACGTTTGAGATTTTTATTCCTTTAACTTCACTAGTGGCATGAAGAGGCTAAAACACGAACACATGAAAAGACACATGAAATCGGAGAATGTTTCTGATCAGCCTTTTCAATGTTACAACAGAAAATCTGAGAAAGTTAGTTGTGTTGCCAAGGGAGTTTACATAAAGGGAAACAATGCTCGATGGATTTGATGTTACAGACAATTTATTTTACATAGCTTTTTATTCTAAGCATCAAGCAAGATCTATTCATTTTAATTCTCTAGCTTTTCTAGCTTTCAATGTTTCTTGTCAGGTTTTTGGCAACTTTTTTACAGTAATACCACTACAGCATATCATTCCTAGAGTTTCAAATTTAATACTTTAGATAAAGTTTTAAATCAAAATCATAGAGAACAACATAACGCTGTATCAAAGGAATACATAATCAAGGCAAAAACAAGAAGCATTCATGAGCCCCCAAATCATGTCTCAAACAACAAAGGAGAACACTTGCATGTACTTTCTCCAATCATAAAAATAATATTGATGTTGAGAAAAACGTCCACAAAGATTAGTTGAATAAAGAACTCCAAGCCCTGTCTATGACTAAAATTATAAAACAGTAGTGTCTTAATATAAACCCAAAGGGGACTTAATTACCGTCCAAACAATTTCATCCAGGCTTAAGCATATCCTCCCATACTTGTCAAGGAAGAGACGCTCAGTCGGAGGCTTCCCACAAACATCTTTCACTGAGGATGTTACTGCAAAAATTACTTCTGCCACTTGGGTACAAACAAGATTACACATAAAATAGGTAAGTGTCAGTCACTCATAAACAGATAGAAACGCAAAACTTTCGCATGTAACACTCAGATTTCCATATATTGAAAAGCCCTCTATGTTTCAGTTAAGTATTTTTAAATCTCCTGCAAAGCCAAATATAAACAGATCCGCGGCAAGAAGTGATAGCAAATATAACTATTATCTACGGGTTTCATAAAAAAGAACTACGTAAGCTGTGTCCCCACTTTTTGGGCATGCTTCTAAAATCCTCAGCTGTAAGTTGAACTGGGATGATATTATTGGCAATCATCTTCCTCAACAAAAAGAGGCTAAGAAACTCACATGCAAGTTCATCATACTCATCCTTGCCGATGACATATACACACACATCCCCAAGCAGCGTATAAACAATATACACTGACCTGATAACACAAAAAGATCAACACACTATTAGAAAAATAAATTGAAATAAGGAAATAAAATACAAACAGAGAAAAACTGACCAGCACAGACAATGCTCACCAACTTAATCAACAAACTCTCCCAATCATCATTGTGGAATTTCAAATGGAAACTTAAAAGGATTAGATTTACCGAACATCAGTGAGTAAAATCACTTTTACAGAATTTTCAGGAACTGTTTTCATAAGAAACATTATCCACACTTGAAGAAAGGAATGTATGGGCATGTCTACTGGCACAGAATGGCCTCTAAAACCTAAATCACACAGGAAGCCTTGTTCACAAAATTAAACCATTCTGATTTGAGCAGGATGAATGGACTGCTTACATCAGAGACTTGTTGAGTTGCTGAGCTATGAGGATACATCTGTCATTTCACTAGAATAGGCATCAGAATTATCATGGATCACCTTCCCTTCTTTGAGCAGTATCAATAGTTCAAGGATGTATATCTATTCTGTCATCATTATGACTGATCCTCGACACCGAAGGCTGAGATACCTGATAGAAATGATTGTACAACCAACTTCATGTTCTTTCAACTTTAAAAAATTAGTTTCCCACCTATCCATAAGCCTGCATACTCTCTCGTCCTTAACACAAGCCACAATTCACCATCCCCTAGCCTTCTTCATATGGCACCACTAGGCGAACGTAGTATATGAAGTCACATCATCAAGTTCTGTTAGACTCTAAATAGAGAATATTAATGGACAGATAAAGCTATACACATTCTGGCAAAAACTCAGTTATGCCCATTCAATACAAGTGCACGTCCAACATGGACACTCAACACAAAACTCAGATCCACAGTGCAAAAGTACATAAAAATCTGTCAAAGGTGACAGCTCAAAACTTTCCCCAAATAACTATCATCTGATTCTGATATATATATATATATATATATATATATATATAGAAAATATCTGTTTATATCAAATTTGCAACATTCAATTTATTAACAATCTATGTGCAATTGATTGGATGTATGTTAGCACATATTCTTTCAGAATATCCATCACCAACAAGCTGCCCCTACACTTCTTGTCTTGTTATATAGCTGTAAATAGGGCATGCCTTCACTTGATGTGTTAGCCACAGCAGAACGGGGGCACTGTCACTCAATGGCTGTTGACCAATCTCAATGCAGCCAAAACCTAATGGTCATGTATTTAAACTAAAAAGTCTGGGTTCTGTATTTTCCGTCTTGAAAGCTTGCATATTTGATGAAAGAAAACAAACAAGCAAAATATAGCAAACAGTCATAAAGAACAATGCTCATGAGTCATAGGTGAAATACATGACCACTGAGTAGTGGTTGCATTGAGATAGAAGAAGCAAAGCTCACATGCAAAAAAGTAGCAATCTATCAAAAAGTTCTAATTCATAATATCCATCATTTTCATGGGAATACCTGAGGACATTTATCCATAACAGGTAATGATAAACGCTCATATCTGTTCTTGCCAAATGCATATATGTTTTAACAGAAGTTTAAGTTGACGAATAGCATACTTGTGAGAGGCAACAAAAAGCTCCTCATTCTTTGCTCCTTTAAGATTATCTGATCCCAGCTTTACAAGGAAAGATCGCCAATGCAGTCGCTCCTCTGGTGGAACCCCATGAAACCTGGAAGACCATACCAACAAGAGCATGGTTTCTCATAAGTCCATTACACAACTTACATACATCAGACTATTTCCCGCATTAGAAATACTAAATGGTAAAAAATCATTAAAGTGAAAGAAATGCTAAGCCAGCAGCATCTGTGATCACCTCAGACTCAGCAAGAAAAGTGTACACTGCTAAAACTAAGCAAAATAAGTAAAGGCAATCCCATCTCTAGAAGCTGAGTTTTCAGATGCAACTATTGTGAAATACTACAGCGCGACGTAAATGACAGCACGAAGTTATACCTCAAACATCAACCTCCAAGTAGTTCGAGAGAGAAAATTTAAGATCAATGACATTTTCTGTGTGAGAGATTTCCATTTCCAGGTGCTATCATACAATATGTGTGCATTAAGTAGGAGCAACAACTTCAGATTAAGAACACTTCAGTTTGCTTTGCCATCAGTCGGATAAAATGTTGGAGTTTACTGTATTTCGTCTTTGACCATACCTCAAAGAGAAAAAGGCTACAATACGATTCACATTTTGTCCACTGAGGCTTCCAAGTTCCAGAAAAATTTACCAGAATAGGGGTAAAAATGAGTTCTCAGATAGGGAGAAAAGAAAGAGAAAATATGAATTCAAAGCAGCGACGATTCGGAGCTGATGGACGTCAAATGCATCACCAATAGTATTGTCATGTATTCAAACCCAGCGTATTTCAAATATCCCCATCTCCCCTGTATCTTGTATGTATGAAATAAATAAAACGTTGTCTAATATTACTTCTGAAGGAATGCGAAAAAAATCATCACAATTTCGACCTGACCAAGTCCATATTAGAAAACTAAACAAAGGAATTTTTATATGAAATTTCTCCTTTATCAGTGCGAAAATCCCTCAAGAGAGACAACACGAGGATTTCCTTGAGTCAAGACAAGCTGTCACATTCTATTCCTTGAGAAAAGCTGCCCATTATTAGAAGTTTATGATATAACAAAATTCTTCCAGAAAGCACTCTACAAGCCGCTGGGCAAGCCAACTGCAGTCCATCAAAGCATATACTACACAACCAAAGGTCCTCAGACTAATTTCTCGAAAAAACCTTTCCCGGTCACGCAGAAGGAATCCTCCTCATTTCTGCAAAAATATCCAGAACTTTCTGGATGATAAGGATGTCACCAAAATTTATAGTTCAGGAAAAAGTAGCCCCACTAGTGCGGGAATTCCCGCGGTTTTAGCTCCCACAAGGGGATGCCGATCCTCCTGCAACAGAACAACCCGAAATTCGACCAAAACCTAGCACAGCCTCAGTCGGTTCCACGATCATCCTTCGCAAATCTCCGTTCACCATTCGCACAAACAAACATTTGGACATCAAAGAGAACAGCGTGAAAATGAGGTGAAAGGTTTGAGAGATCACCGTTCGATGAGGATATTCCCGTCGGAATTGGTGAAGAGAACAGCGAGCAGCATCTCCTCAGCTCTCACCGCGGCACGAAATATCGTGTTGGGTGTTCAGCTCAGATCCCATGACCAAGGGCCGGTGAATCACTGGTTCTTCGAATTATGTCCTCACCAGAGCTTAATGGGCCTGGAAGTCCGGATCCAGCCCATTAGTCTTGGCACAGTCAAGTTCTAGGACAGTAGAAAAAATAAGCCGAAGACCGACGAGTACAATTTTTCTATCAACTAATTATTTTTTTGTCCACCTAATTATTGATAGATAATTATCAATAATTATATAATCTTACGCGAAAAAGGCCGAGTTACCCTCTCTCTCTCTATCTCCCTCTCTCGTTGGCTTAGCTGCAGACAGTAGAGAGACCCAGACTATCATGCAAAGTAATTTGCTATTTTCGTCTTAAATTATGAGAAAAATGCAATTAATTAGCCTTGGCGGTTAAAAATAAAATAAAAGAAACTTTTGAGGACCTAAAAGTTCAACTAAAAAACAAAAGAGCGCATCAGTCGTGGTTGGCTTCACGTCTTTCGGATTCTAAATGTCGCTCATATTCATCTTCGTTAATTAAGAAAATATCATAGTGAACCAATAAAATATATTATAGCGAATATGCCCCTTTCATGTCTTCTGACTAGTCTTGGAGGCTTCACCAGCTCTCGTACCAAAGTCAAGGGTTGACAAACATTAATGTACATAGTCGATGATGGTCAACTCTTTATTCCATAAAAAAATCCTTAAATATATTTCTAGGTTGTTCATTAAAGAAAAACTACTATTTTATAAAAAGTATAGAATGAAGTTCACCCATTAAAAAAAAAATCATCTGAACAATCGTAAAAAAAAATACTAGAGAAAATAAATATTTAGTATTTATTTATGCTTATTTATGATTTTTTAGCTTCAAAATTCATAAAAACTTCCATTTCATAGAAATCTGAAAGTTCTCATTTACCTATCAATTTTTTTATTTGAACATTTTAAATAGATAATCAATATATAGATATATATATAAAGCAAAAGTAGCGGTCCTAATGTATACTTGACGACCACTTTACAAAAGTCAACTTCAGCTCAGCTTTAATCCTATATTGGCAAGGGCATAGGTGCAATGGGCCTTGCATATGTTCAATAGAGGCCAGTTCTTGTTGAATATGTAACTAAGTGTTGACTTTAGTTGTCATGGAATCATTAAATACATCACACTTCAAGTTATGCCATAAAAAGTAGGATTACAATTACCCCATCATGGGTGGTGTTACGTGCTTTTCTTACATTCCAGGGGGGTAAAATAAAATGGGAACAGGTTTAGCGTTCTAAAATGTAAGTTTTTTGAAAATTATAATTATTCAAAAGGTTGAAAGAAATATGGGAGGAACTTAAGATAATTTACGGCTTCCTCCCCGTGTACCTTACACACAAGTAAACTAGAATTCGACATTTGCCGTCCATCTGATGTATCCCAAGTCTTGGTAACCGCACGATGAAATCCACGTGTTCTGCGGCAACAACGCGAGCGTTCCCGTTTCGACTCGTCGTCTCCTCCCCCCCCCCCCCATGTCCATCATTCAGTCCAGTGCCTCTCATAAACTTGCAACTAAACTGCATCACCCCCATAAACCAAACGTGCGTCGTTCCTGGTGTCAGTACTGGTGCACGTTTAGCTATTATTATCCCTCGCGTCTTCCAACAGGCCGATCCGGCTTCCGTGTCGACTCGGGGAAATCGGAGCTGTGGGAGAGGGGGTGCGCTTTCATCTGGGACAGTCGTGGAATGTGATATCGGAGGTGGAGATCTAGTCCACAATTCTCGTTATCTCCGGCGGTGGAATGATCTCTCCGGTGGAGATCCAGCAGCATTGATCGCCGGAGGAGGTCGAGATTCTCGTGGAATCGGCTGCTCTTGGACCAGGCGGAGCATCATCTCTGGCGAAGCAGGAATTGAGAGGTTTGGAAGGTGGGGAGAGTGAAGGGAGGAGGAATTTAGGGTCCTGGTGGAGTTTCAGGTGGCCGTAATTGATTCAGAGGGGGGAGAGGATCGAAGCGAAGCTGGAGCAGTTGAAGACGATCGGACGGGAGCTCGCCATGGGCTCCCAGGGGGGTTGGGGCCAGTCCAAGGAGTTCTTGGACTTGGTGAAGTCCATCGGGGAGGCGCGGTCCAAGGCGGAGGAAGACCGGATCGTGCTCCAGGAGATCGAGACGCTCAAGCGGCGGATCAACGAGCCTGACGTGCCCCGAAGGAAGATGAAGGAGTACATCATCCGCCTGGTCTATGTTGAGATGCTCGGCCACGACGCCTCATTCGGCTACATTCATGCCGTCAAGATGACGCATGATGATTCCCTCCTTCTCAAGCGCACTGGCTATCTCGCCGTCACACTCTTCCTCAACGAGGACCACGACCTTATCATCTTGATTGTTAACACTATTCAGAAAGATCTGCGGTCTGACAACTACCTTGTTGTCTGCGCTGCGCTCGCGGCCGTGTGCAAGCTTATCAACGAGGAGACAATTCCTGCTGTCCTGCCGCAGGTCGTTGAGCTCCTGGGCCATCCCAAGGAGACTGTCCGCAAGAAGGCTATCATGGCCCTGCACCGGTTCCACCAGCGTGCACCCACTACGATGTCACACCTCATCTCCAATTTCCGGAAGGTATGATTTTTGCATGAGGTCGAACCTTCGTATTAGTTTTCGCACTCAGAATTTAAACCACAATGCAGATTCAAGTTCACTATGTTTCTACTAAAACATATATGATGGCACTTGTGCAGCGTGATGAGACTGCAGTTTAAGTTACCAATGCACTCGAAGTGTTCAATGATCTTATGGGTGCCGAAGTTTGGAACCTCAATGGAGATCAGTTTTTTACTGAGATTCTAATTTATCCCGTACAAGAGAATTATTGCTTTCGTGGTAGGAAAATGAGGAAGAAAGTTGTGCTCTTATCCATCTTGTTTGACTATGTATACCTTTCACCCGGATCTTTCTCTGCCAACCATATTTGACTTTTCTTTTTAAGCTGCTAATGGAGGATATGTTGAAAAAAAATTGAGATTTCAGATTAAAGTAGTTTATAATTGTTTTCACTGTGGTATTTTCTCCAGAAATCATGATCACATACTTGTCGATTGTGAAATTTTCCAGGTCCTTTGGGAAATGATGTCGAGAATTTTGGGCCTTCAGTTGGTAGATTTATGATATGTGCAGTTTTTGGAAAGGAATGCTAGGAAATAAAGGATAGAGCGATTATTTCCTCACAATTTTCTGGGATATCTGATGGGAAAGGAGCATGAGAACATTTCAGAGTTTTGTTAAACATTCATAATCTATTTTCCATGTCTGTTAGATGAGCAAAGGAAATGTCCGAGTCATTATAAAACTATTCAAAATCTCTTTTCCCCTATTGTTAGATATATAGAGAGATGACCTGTTGCAGCCATCACGAAAAAGTCACCAAATTTAGTTTTTAGTGTAAGATTTTATCAAGGTCTCCTTTTTTGGTTTGTTTCTTTTAACAATTTGAAAATGGTGGAGGCTGCTGGGACAATGACAGGTAAACACTTAACTGTAGGGGATGGGTTCCATCTGCCTTCCTTTGGACAACAGGAGGATAGCACCCATTGCTACTGTGGGGGACAAAAGTAGTGTCAAAAGAAGTGGTTGGTGTTTGGTTGTTATTGAGAATCATGCTACTGCTGTTATCATAACCTTAAGGTAAGCTTGGGCAAGTAGGTAGGATGTAAACGCTCATGGAATGTCAGAAAAACTGGTCTATTGGGCTTTTGAATTCCTTTTGCTTACTTGTTCTTTTTTCCCGCAGATGAAATTTAACAATTGAAGGCTCAACATGATTGAGAATATCATTTTGAATAGACCATTATTTTTCAAAAGCCTTATTTGTCTCAGATTATTCGTTGGCTTGGCCTTCTAAAAATTTCTATCTCCACTGTCTCAGATTATTACTGATAATGTCAAATTATACTAACTTTCGTCTCATTTATTATTTTGTTGCAGAGGCTTTGTGATAATGACCCTGGAGTCATGGGTGCAACATTGTGTCCTCTTTTTGATCTTATTACAGAAGATGCAAATTCTTATAAGGACTTGGTTATGAGCTTCGTCAGCATTCTTAAACAAGTTGCAGAAAGAAGACTGTCAAAGGCCTATGATTATCATCAGATGCCAGCCCCATTTATTCAGGTATAAAATATGGAAGAGCCGAATGCTCATTAATCACTCTAGAAAAGTATCAATGGCTTGCTTTTTCAATCGAAAGACCTTATTATGTCTCTTTTGCTAATGATAAATTGATAGCAGCATAGCGCGATGCTTCCATTTTTATTGTCAGAGATCTCATTACTTTGTCTACTTCCTAATTTTCATTCGCTTTTTGGCCACATTTAAGTTATTTCTAAACCTTAGCTTTTCTCCAGGCAAAAATGTGGGATCTTGTGGATGTCACTACTCAATATGCTTATGATACTCGGTAGTATTATTCTTTTGTGCCAATTTCAAAGTCAAGGAACCAAAAGTTTTTAAAAACTATGTACAGAAAGTTGGGAGTAGACATGCAAACTCTTCTTGGGTACGAATCAGGTTGTGATATTTTTATACTTTATGTTATCTCATTACCTAAAACTAAACAGAACAAAGGATAATGAGTGGAGGACGTCTGTACCCCCTTATTCTAGGGAACATAAAAAAATGAAATTAGGGTAACCTGGATCTTACCAGTGAATGTATGCAGGGGTCTCATTTCTTTTCATCATTTGATTTGTGTATTGTACATTAATATGTAAGACATCGGTTTCCTCCTTTTGGCGAAAATACTTATTTAAAGCTTGTTTGGATTATTACAGTGTAGTCCTTTTGTTGAATTTTAGCTTTGATCCCTTTTTTTTTCTGAACTTATATTTTAGCCCCTGAACAATGTTAACAATTCATTTGGGTACTGCATTTGATTGTCCCTATGAAATTTTAGAACACTTGAAATCTAGGTCCTTCAAAGCTTAAGGCAAATACTTTTCGAAAGTGAATGCTATCATACATTATTAAACGTCAAGGAAATGAGGTGAATGTCAGCATATTTGGTGCCAGAAATTCATGTGCAACAACTATAGTCCATGGTAAGACGCTGTGTTCCATTCCAATTGCACGAATAAACATAAATGACGGATTCCTCTTTTCAGAAGAGCCCCACAGATACTTCCATCGTATCAAATGTAAAATCGAGCACCTTTCTACCAAGTGAGACCCTGCCCTCTAACAGATGACTGTTCATCTCATTCCATCTGGTTTGGAGAGTCGCATATAGGAGACATTTAGAGTGCCATACAATGTGTTGTATTTCCATCTACAACAAATTATTTAGGTGATCTTACTTTGAATCTTCTTTCTTTCTCCCGTCTCAATTGTATGTCTAGCCCTGTTATTGGCAATGATCACTCCGTGAGCAAACCGGGTTGGTCTTCTGGTTGTCTAATATCTTCCTCCATTTTATTTTAGATAATAACCGCATCATTGAAGAATAAATGAAATCATCATCTAGGCATTGAGATAACTTATAATTCCTTAACCTACCACAAATTCCAGGGTATATCTAAAAGCGATCCACTTTCTTTATCAATGTTTATACCGGGCCTCTCTCTTCTATACATTATCTCAATCTCCTGCTAGTTGCTTTCCAATTTTTCAAATGATTTCCCTGGGTCAAAACCATGGAGATAGTGCCTAGCAGATTCCATGACATTGTATCACTGGTTTCTTCCGTTTTGGTTGAAGAATGTCTTTTTCCAGAAATGTGGCTTCTCTTTCATTATTGTACTTATACTTTAGTTGGCACAACTTACAAACTTTATGCATTGCTTTTGGTTTGATTTTACATTTCATCAGTTCTATTTTTTTCTTGTGATTTGGGATGTCTATTCCATTTTGTGTTGTATCAAAATTTTCTAGTGTTCTGACAATTACGAGACTGCAGTACTAAACATTATATTTATTTTCTCTCTGAAATTTCAGATAAAGTTACTGAAAATCCTAGGATTATTGGGAAGCGGAGACAAGCAAGCAAGTGGAGCGATGTATAATGTCTTAGAAGACATTTTTAAAAAATCTGAACCGTCAAGCAATATTGGGAATGCTGTACTGTATGAATGCATTTGTTGTGTATCATCTATATGTCAAAATGATAAGTTGCTCAAAACTGCTGCCGAAGTAACATCTAAATTTTTGAAGGTGACGCTGCTGATGTGTTTCCATTTACCAGGACGTTTTATTTTCGTGGGTCCTATATTTATTTTTCCCTTTGTCAACTTCTGTGTCCATTAACAGAGTGAGAGCCATAACCTGAAATATATGGGCATTGATGCTCTTGGTAGATTACTGAAGAGAAATCCAGAAATTGCTGAGGAACACCAGTTGGCTGTTATTGATTGCTTAGAGGTGAGGTTCCTTACCAATACGTTTTGTGGATAAGAGTCTCCACAAGTAAGATTTGCAATTTTAATTGATTTGCTGATCTTTCATTGTTTTATATAATTCTCCCACCTGCTTATAATGCTGGATTGTTTTGATAATACCTTTAGGCTTAACATTATGGTTGCATGTGTAATATTATCTTTACGAAGCTGCAACCATTTTTTTTAAGGTGGCTGGTAGCACATGATCACTCAGACAAAAAAGACAGTATGTGAATATGAAAAAGCTCGCAAAAAGGAACCTCTGTACATCAATATAGTCATACGCCTGGAAGGTGCCGGACAGAACGCGGAGAAAAAAACTGCAGACGTGCCAGCTGACTCTCTAAATAGTGGAAACACCTCCCTCACAAAAACCTCAGCCACTCATTCACCATGTGACTAACCCACAAGGAAACCTTGTGCACTGTGGTGCTTTTCCTTTTAATAGTATGTCCAAAAAGCTGGCTGGGTAGCATATAAAATAAGCTACTGTTTACCATCCGATTTCTTTGTCCAATAATGTTTTTCAACTTAGCTGAAACCCACTGAAAGTGCTTTCATGCTGCTACCAAAGACCTTAAGGCGTACCAACTACCAGATCCTCTCATAAAAGGAACATCCAAGGAACCAGTGTTCCAATTTTTTTTTCGTCCTTTCCACACATACAAACAGCAAGTTATATGGATTTTTATCAAAAATAATAGGCTCAGAGTTCACAAGCAAGAAGTTTCCACTTGATATCTTCCAGACTAAAACCTTTATTTTAAAAGAGATGGGCTAGTATATATCTTAGCAAACATAAAATGTCTAATACCTCCATAAAAAATGATGCAGTAAGGTGGCATAGGTAAGAAATCACTTACCTATTCTCATTTTCATCACCACTTCTCTGCCTTGGTGCTTATAACATACCTTCCTGCAGTAAGTTGGTCTTGCATTTCTCGAAGTTTTTGAACATCCTTATCCTTCAAGTTTCTCCTCAATTCAGTCATCACATATGACCTATTTCATTCGCTTACTGGCTGTCCTGAAGAGGAGCAAAAAGATTTTTGAAAAGATGAGGTTACACACCAACAGCCCTTTGGGTGAAGTTTTTTGTCCATTTCTGGAACAGATCTCTCACTTTACTAGTGCTACATCTTTAGCCAGTACTATATCCTTATAAATTTTAGAGATGATATCTAGTCACTACCATAGATAAGTTCATATTTATCTTTTGGATGAGGTCAGTAGATCTAGTTTGTTGCAAATACTCCTTTTTCACGACTTTACAAGTAGCCATCATGAAATGCTACTCTGTATCTGTGCTAAATTCCTTGCCTATGGAGGGTATTGCCATAAACTTTGGTTCAAAGGGTAAGCCCCCTTTGGAGCACTAGAATTCCCCTATTCTTGTCTGTCAAGAACGGAATGCATTAGAACATTCCAACATAGAAAATGGATTCATATACGCACTATGAACTCAGCAATTAGAAGTCCTGTAGTAGTTGAAAAACAGAGGAAGATGAAATCAATCTTCATATTTGATCTTTTTTTCGTCAAAATTTGCAGTAGTAGTAGTACTTTATGCAACTACTGAGAATGTGGCAATTGGCTAAATAGGAATATCTTTATTCTAAATCAAAACTCGTAACAAGCTGAAGTGCAGACTAGTCTTTTGGTATATCTTGCGTATGCTTTGTAACGCAATAACCTTACCCCCCATGTTTCTGTGATACCCATTCTATTATCAGCTAATTGCATAATAGAAGCCTTTTGTTCATTAGTCTTTCAATTGTTAATTTTAATTTACTGAAATTTTAGAAAAAGAAGACTAAATAAAAAAATAAAATCTAAAAATCAAGGATTAAAAATAAAAGGCGATCAGTATGCAAAAGGAAATAACAGGTGACGTTTCCTATATAGTTATAGTTCGTACAAAGGTTGAAGAGCAAGGAAAAGCCTTTGCAATTATTTTTTGATTCTGTGGAATTTACAGTAATTTATTATCATTTTTTTTCCTTTTCATGGTGAAACATTTATTAAAATAAGGAAGGCAATCATGCTAATGTTTTTTGAGCCTTAAGATCTCTCTGCTGATTAATCATGTGGTGTTTTAGGATCCTGATGATACGCTAAAACGAAAGACATTTGAATTGCTGCATAAAATGACAAAGTCAAGCAACGTGGAAGTGATAGTTGATCGCATGATTGATTACATGATTAGTATTAGTGACAATCACTACAAGACCGACATAGCTTCTCGATGTGTTGAGCTTGCTGAGCAGTATGCCCCAAGCAACCATTGGTTCATTCAGGTAATTTCATGATACTGAGATATCTTGTAACTTCGTTTCAGTTTTTTCTTTTCATTTTTATTTAGAATTACTCTTGACTATCCTTTACTTCACAGATCATGAACAAGGTCTTCGAGCATGCAGGGGATCTTGTTGATGTAAGAGTAGCCCATAATTTTATGCGGTTGATTGCAAATGGAGAGGACGATGAAGGTGCTGGCAGTCAATTGAGATCATCTGCGGTACGTACTGCCTACCAATTATTGACAGAGAGTCAATTGTGTATTTTTTGTGTTCATGAAAGTTGAGATTGTTTTTGTGCATTATTTCTTCCATTATTCCCTTTCAGTAGGGTGCACCTTTCTTACTGTTTTTGACAGATGGGATTGCAAACTCATGTAGTCTTTTATTTGACCTGAACTTCAAAGCTGGTGTCCAAGAATGAGGAGTAAAAGAAAAGCTTTTGATAAGTGCGGTTCGTAATTCTGTAGAACCAGATGTGATCAATTAAGATTATAATATTAAGGGCTTTATTGGTCTACAACGTATGAAATGGGTTTCACAGAGAGATTGTGACGCTTTTATGGTTGCATGAAAACATTCTGCAATATTTTCGTTCGATAGAGATTCTAAGGTTAGGTCAGAGAGTTATCACACAGATGATAGGGACAAAGTGTTTGATAATTGCTTCCCAAAGATGGAAGTTCATGTTTTCAACCTTAATTTATGTGAATTATTCATGAATAATTTAATTTACTAAAATTGGATATTTATATGCTATCTTATTCCAACATTTGTGAAGGTGATTCATTGTTGTTATCGATTACGCATTTACTTCAGTGAACGGAAATCATTTTCTGTTAGTGTATTTTCTGTTTACAATCTAAGGTTTCCCTTTCTTATCCAGGTCGTTTCATACTTACACATTCTTGCAGAACCAAAGCTGCCATCTGTGTTCTTGCAAGTAATGTGTCTTTACCTCGTGTTACTGTGAATTCACTTTGATAGATGCATGCTCTTTTACTTATGATTGGGAAGTCTTGAGGGTCTTCTTTTACTTAAAGCCGAAAAAATTTGCAGGTCATATGCTGGGTGCTGGGTGAATATGGAATAACAGATGGTAAATTTTCTGCATCTTACATCACTGGAAAGTTATGTGATGTTGCAGAGGCACGATCAAATGATGATACTGTCAGGGTATGACTTCGACCAACGTATTTCTGTGGCTCAAAAAGACTAAAATTTCCATCTTGTTTCTTTTTTTTGAAGATATTATTTCGTCTTATTCTTTGCTAAAATTGGTCTTGTGGAATGTGCCATCTTTGTATTGGATAATCGTTTAACCTAGGCCTACAGTTTTTTCGTTCCTCAATGTGTCTGTAGTAAATAGAAGAATGGAAAAATATATGCAATCATTTATTCTAAATAATTAAAAAAGGTGTTCGTTCTGAATTTTTTTACTGATAGTATCATGAGTCGCCAAGAAAAATATGATCTGTGCAATAATCTTCTTTTCCTTTAATCCTCCTAGTAATAGTTGGGTCACCAATGTATGTGCCCTTCTTCAATCGTTTTGCTCAACTAATCCTCCTGGCGCATCTGTTCTGAGCCTCAGCTTTCCTCAACTTTATCTTGTAGCTGGTAGACATGTTTTAAAAAAATTAAGAAAGAGGGACCAGAAGACCATCAATTGAATGAGACAGCAAGTCAATATAGCTCAAAATTTTGAGGATTATGGGACCTCCTTGATCAGCCATGTCACTCTTTATTTTCATGCTATATTACTTGTAAAAAGGATTCGCTTTTCGAGGTGTGATGAATTGAGGATGACATGGGTTAATAAAGTAATAGAGCGCCACATAACTTTATTATGTTAATCTGAAGGCTTCTATCACGTGAGCTTATGTTTCAAAGCCGTGATTGTGGATTCTTGAGCTGACCTATATTCTCTACATAATTTGGCACCAGTTATACTTTAATCCCTCATTGTCCGCTGCCTCCAATCCTCACGTGCGGATCTGTACAAGACAGGAAGAAAGATTTTTTAAAAAATTCTTATTCTACAAGTAAAACACAGAAAACTTCCCAAAAGCAGACATCATTTGCTCCAGTGTCAAGTGACTGTGCTCGCCAAGGATGGCATCATTGTTCGTTATACAGACTGAAAAATGGTCACATACAGTAGTCATCCCTGTAGTCGCCCTGTAATAACCCTTAAAGACCTCGGCAAGGGTCATCCTCAAGCAGATCCGAGAATATCTGATACGATAGTTAATAGACAGCGGCCATCTTTAATCTCCCTTTTCATTCTGTCTCTCTTGTTTTCATTGTTTTCATCATCCTCCTGCTCATTATCATCATTATCATCATTGTCGTCATCTTCTTTTTCTTCATCTTTGTTATGATGCTAGAGAAGCAGGCTGGGGGAAACTAAGAATGTAGAACATTACTCTCGAAATTAGGTTAATCATGGACATGATACTGGTGTGAGCTATTTTTTCAATGTAGAAAGGTTTGTTGTGTTACAAATTCTAAAGATATAATCTGGTTTCAATGTATAAATTCGACTAATGGCATTCCTTTTTTGTTTAAATGCCGTAAACTGAAAGTTGAAGAAGTCGCTCAATCTCAATCTGAGCTGCCCGCTTTGGAATAATCTGGTTTCTTAAGCAATGAACTACCCCATTATTCTGTTAGGGATTTCGTTGGTCTTTATTGTATTCTAAATAGAAGTAAAACTATGGTCAGTTGTGAGGGTTTTCTCCAACATTTTTCTTGAGAAGTTGTTACCTCATAGAACTTCATTTTGCTTTGTAATTAAATGAATTTATTCTTTTTGGGAGTTGGGAAATGGGTGACGAAATCATTGTGCTTGTTCCACTGCAGAGATGATTAATAACTTCTTGACACTATAATGGTAGAAAATAACTTTACTGTTTTTGTATGAAGCTTGCACTGGCAGATAAATGGCTTTCTAAATTTTAAGCTTCTGAGTCAATGCGACCACTTTATCTTTATTGCCGTCTTCAAACATGTGGTTGGATCTAAGTTATGGTTAAAGAGAGTTTATCCTTTACATGGTTTTCTCATATTTATAATTAGAGCTTACCTTGTATCCTTTACTTTTTTTCGTTCGGTTTTAGCGGCTCATAACCTTTGGAATAGTTTTAGCTGATATTATCTTTCCATTTGAAGGCATATGCAATTGCAGCTATTATGAAAATCTGTGCGTTTGAGATTGCTGCAGGGAGGAAAGTAGAACTGCTACCTGAGGTATTTTTTATCTTCTTAGAGAAGACATTTAGAGTTTCTACTTGTTCGGATATCGATTAGTCTTCTCTGTGACGAGGTGATTAGCTTCATCTCGATAATCAGTTTTTACCATGCAAACAATAATTATTGGTCATCTTGAGTAACTCAAGTGCTATGGTCTCTCTTGTGGAGGATGGTTGGCTTCATCTTCGGGTTTAGCATTCTGCTTAGAGCTTGATAAAAATGATCTTCATGTGATATTCCCTCTAAGGTCTTTCATTAGCCTCCTGCTCCAGAAAAAATGACCTTTCAGTATAGGGTCATTGAATTAATGACTACAAAGGTCTACATTTTTTATGGTTATGTATTTATAGGTTTTTAGTTACCGCCTCTTGCTCTTCGAATTTTGTTAAAACTTGGGCAGTTGATTTTTGATCTCTGAAGTGGTATTCGGTTTTTCATGTTCTTAGGTTTTCCTTGTGAAAAGTTGATCAGCTCCTATTCAACAATCAATTTTCACCTTGCATCAGTGCAAAATAAGAATAATTGCTTTGAGTCCTTTGTGCCTTCAATACTATGGTCTTGCTTTGTGAAGGACCCGAGAGCTAGTTTTTCCCATAAAATTTGAAACGGAATGTTCTACGTAGGGTCTTACAGAAAATTTCACCCTACTTTAAGTTTAATGAAGTCTTTGTGTCGTCTGAGATGCTGAAAAGGAAATATAATATCAGTGATACCTCAATTTTATTTTTGAGGTATATGGTGCCCAACCACCTGTAAATAGAACCATATATTTATTTGGACAGAGTTCAGGGTCCGCTGGCTCAAGAAATACCGCAGCATTTAGTGCATCTTGGATGGCGGGTTTCATATTATTTAGCTTGACAACGTGCATTTTGGTATCATGGGGGATTTTCTTTCTTTCATCCAACGACTGTCCATGTCATGGAGACTTGATTCTTTATTCATGAACTCTGTATATTACTTCGTTATTTTAGGGAAATCTTTGAGCTATTTTTCTTTTGCTTGGTAGGTTCTGAACATTGGGGTTAGTAAATTGACCTGAGGGATAGTTATTGAACCAAAGGGCACCACCAACTCTTTGTACTTGTTGCGAGGAAGATGACAATTTGTTGGCGTAAAGGGAAAATATCCCTTATTTTTACCAGAAATAAACGTAAAAGCGATGCTAAACATTCTCAAAATGGGGATGTATCTCGTAGTTGCTTTCCATGTGTATTCTAGCTTCCATTCTTCTTTTTGATTAAAATAATTAGCCTTTCTCCCGCAGGACAGTTTCTTTTTTTGCTATTTAGTTGGAAATATTATTATTCCTAGCAAATTGAGCTGTTAGAATTATCATTCTTTACTATTTGCCTTATATTATTTCTATTGTATTGCAGTTAGGTGTTCCAAGTCCAATGTTTGATTGAACGCCACCTGCTAGTGTCTTATCCAGTTTCTTTTTATATCCACCTGGTAAATTGATTGAGCCTTTTTTTTTTAATGCTGTGCAGTGCCAATCCCTGATTGACGAATTATCAGCGTCTCATTCAACAGACCTCCAACAGATTGCATATGAACTGCAGGCCTTATTGGGCTTAGATGCTCGCGCTGTTGAAACGATAATGCCTTATGATGCAAGCTGTGAAGACATTGAGGTTATTCCTTATTTCTTGCTTCACCAGCTGTTACCTTTCGTAATAATAATCTACGCCATTCTTGCTAGATGCATGTGCTCTCAATTTGGCACTTTTTGCTAAATTGTTATGAAGAGTATAGGAGAGAACAGGTCTTCATGGGCTGGGATTATTAGGGAAACTTATTCCATAAATGGTAGTGAATGAAAGTTTCTTCCAGTGAACATATCTTAACATTTCGAAGTTCAAGCTCATAACTATTTTTAAACATTTCGGTATTTGTGCAGATTAAATCTTCTATTTGGAAGGAAATTTCAAAAATAATAGAATTCTGGTTATTTCATCTGATTTTCAATCAGGGAATGAAAAAAATCGGAAAGTTTTTGGACAGCTGCATGTTATGTTCTTTGCTTAGGATTCCAGCAAATCTAGAACATTTTCTGAGAACAAGGACAAGCAAATTTACGAGATTTGAGAAAATGAAAATTGTAAACGAGAAGAAACAAGGAACCAAATTAATAGAAAATCATTGAATAAATTGATCTGCTTCATATCCTTCATCATGTTGCGGTGAAATGAAACCAAGACAACAGAAATAATTGGAGATGGACTGCTTAGAAAGTATTCAATGTTTAGTTTTTTGGATTCCAAGCTTGGTTGTGTATGATTTGGATGAAGAACTCCCATCAAATGGTAATTTTTTCCTTTTAGAAATTGGTTCACAAGAGGCTATCCATCCACATGTGATACAATCCAAACCTTGAAACCAAATGTCCAAAAGACTTTGTTTTATAGTTTGCATGAGGAAACCATTAACTATCTATTTTTAGGTGATGTTATACGTTTTATGTTTAGGCACTTTTTTTTCGCACACATTCAAGAAAACTCAGGATTTATTTAATATTGTCAAATTATACTTTCTGGGTAATCTTATTTTGAATGAACACGTTAGCTTGGTCAAAATTACATAGTAAGGTGGCTGTATAATTTACCTTATCTTTGATCTCAACAACTTAATGCGGTCAATTCCACTTGCTTGGCAAAAGTATAAACATGGATTATGAAATTCGTACCGTATTGTACTAGGAAACTCCCATGAAGTTATACAATAATTTCATAAAACTATATGGATCACTTGATACATGGTGTGAAATGACTTCTGAGAGCTATAATGTTACTAATATTGGTGAAAGTACTTTATTTTCTATTTTTTCATGAATGAATTATTATTTATGGGCATCATTGAATGAAATTAGGTTGGCATAAAAATGCAGCAGCAGCGGTAGTTTTCCTTTTTTTAAAAATAAATCATGAATTTAAGTATTTTCTGGAGTACAGAGCCTCCGCTGAGATCTTCATATTCTTTATTTTCTGGTCTTAACATCTACTGGCTCTGAATCTCCCTAAAATGCACGCCAAGACCATGCACATCAAGAAATCCCAAGCGAACATCCCCATGAGATGGAAACGAACATGAATCTTTATCATACGCCGATTTCCCAAAGTCAGTGCAATATAATCAAGGGCAGCCACTTTGTTTCCTGAACCTTCACTGATCCCCAGATTATTGCCATCCTAAAGCCCCTTCCCTCTCACATTTCCCCAATTTTGAAAGACATTTTTGATCCATCGCCACTGATCTCCTTCTTCTTCTTCTTGTTGCAGGTGGATAGGAGCCTCTCGTTCTTGAACAGCTTTGTGAATCAGTCTCTGCAGAACGGCGCGAGGCCCTACATTCCCGAGTCCGAAAGACCCGGAACCTTGAACATTTCTAATTACGGTGCTCATGATCAGCTTGAGGCCCCTTCTCACGCCCTCCGCTTCGAGGCCTACGAGCTCCCCAAGCCTTCTCCGCCGCCAATCCCGCCGGCCCTCCTCGCCGCCGCCCCTGTCGCCGACCTGGTCGCCGTCCCTGAGTCGGCCTACTTCTCTACGGAGCCCCACCAACCTTCTGAGCCGCTGGGCGGCGCCGCCATGTCGCCGGCGGAGCACGGGCTCAGGCTCCGCCTGGAAGGAGTTCAGAAGAAGTGGGGCCGGCCCTCCTATTCCTCATCATCGTCGTCGTCTTCTTCCTCTGCGCCATCTGTTTCAGCTCCCTCTGCACAGAAGCCGGCGAATGGAGTGGCGAACGCCAACGGCGCTGCGGCGGCGGCGGGAGCTCAGGCGAGGGACTCTTCGTACGATTCGAGGAGGAACCCGCTAGTGGAGGTCTCAGCGGAGAAGCAGAGGCTGGCAGCGTCGCTGTTCGGGGGCTCGTCTGCAAGAAGAGAGCCGCCGCCGGCGGCCCCACCCGCCGCCGGGCGCAGAGCCGTGAAGCCAGTGGCGACGGTGGTAGCACCTGCAGCTCCGCCGGCGCCTCCCGCCGGCGACCTGCTCGACTTCGGAGAACCATCTCCTCCGCCGGCCGCCGCCGCCGCCGTGGATCCCTTCCAACAGCTGGAGGGCCTTCTCGGGCCAGCCTCGGCTGCCTCGAGCCAGAATTCAACCGTCGGCGCGGTGGCAGCTGATCTTCTGTCACTCCATGCAGACCCGCCGGCGAGTCTGGCGGAGATTTCTCTGCCGGGGAAGAACCCTCTGGCGGAGATTTCTTTGGTAGGGCCGGCGGCGCCGAGCTCGCCGGTGGTGAAGAAGGGGCCCAACCCCCAGGACTCTCTGGAGAAGGACGCTCTGCAGAGGCAGCTGGGAGTGGTGCCGTCAGGCCAGAACCCGAACCTGTTTCGAGACCTCCTCGGCTGAGGCAGGCGGCGCCGCCAGATCTCATGGGCTTCAGTGGGTTGGGCCTTGGAGGGCCTGTCGGGGCGCCGCCGGTGGTTGTGCGAGCGAGCCTGGTTAGGGGAGGACTGTAATTTTTTTTACCGGATTTAGAAATAAGCTTGCGGAGGGGACTGGGTCTGTTTGCTTGGGGAGGGGTCTTTGTTCTCTGTTTCCTTCCCTCGAGTGCAGATTCGCTGAACTGTGGGGGTTTCTTGGACGGCCATAGACTTCCTCTGACATGCTTTTTCCCCTCTTGCCCAATATTTATGAAGAAAAAATGATCGACCAAATAGCGGTGGAATAGGGTAATCCGGATGGCGACGATCAGCCATCTGCGCTCTCTCTCTCTCTCTCTCTCTCTGTGTTTCTCTCTCTTTGACTCTCTCTCTCTCTCTCTCTCTCTCTCTCTCTCTCTCACTCATAGGTAGGCCACATCAACTCAACTCAGATGAAAGGTCTTTCTCGTCTTTATGCCCTTCACACTCGTCAGCCCCACAATTGTGGGAATATGAGATAAGACGGAATGGCATTTACATCATCTATCCGTATATTATATTTACCTTAACGTTGACGAACTGTCCCTTCACAAGCTTCTGTCTCTTTTCCATGCTTGCCTGCATCTCAGCCTCTCTCTCTCTCCCTCCTTGCCTATCTACGTTAGAGTGATGTGTGGGTAAAGCCTGTCACTAGAAGATGTGGGTGGTCTACCATCACGGCTGATGAGATCAGAGATTGAAGCCAAAGGCGTCTGATGAAACTTTTGGAGCAGCTCTGATATTTGTAGAGAACAAGTCTTTACGTTTTAAAAGAGACCTTAGCTTCATCTATGTCCTCAGCACAATGATACCTGGTCGTTGCCACAAACAATAGATGTCAATGCATTGACCAAACGCTTTGACTCCAACATTGCCATGTTGGCTGCTGTTGACTCAATAACCTATCACAAGTTTGACTACTTGGACTAAAACCCATTACTATATATACTCCACCTAAACCAGGGATGTGATACATGGTGTGTGAGAAATTATCATCTCTATATGGAGCCACATTCCAATCACCTTCTCTCTTATCAGCCTCATCAAGATTTCTATGCTCAAGTGAAGAAAGTTATAGGGTTAGCTTCACTGATCTCCTTCACTGTTTAATGCACTCCTTTCACCATGTTGCATGGTTTGACTTTGGCCAACTTGGTAGATGAGGCTTATTGCAGAAGACCCCTTTCAAAACTATTCTATTTAAAGGTTTCATGGCTTGTTATGCCCAATTTCCTCATTCCAGCATTTAGCTGCTAATTGCTCCACCACTTGGATCAACACTCTATGCTTTATTCTTGAGCTCATTTTCTCAAAGAAGAATGAAAAAAGGCAGTATGTCCTCAATCAATGCCTTCTTAATCAACTTTCTCATTGGCATTATACATCAATCTATATGGTTGTTGATGATCAAAAAATTATATTTTACTAGGATATTTTTTTTGTGACATTATTAAATCTATGTATAAAGTAATATCTTTGATAAGAGTGAGCTAGATTACAATACTTGATAGCCAGATAAAATCTTACAAGTTCATAGGTTTTTCATTCAAATATGTATTATTTTCATTGTTTGATTTTGGGGAAGGACAGTAATTGAGAAGAAATGTATGCCCCAAATAACAATACATTGGTCACCCATTTAGTCAACAAAATAGATTTAATGTGTCCAATTACCTTTTCAAAGTATTGTTCATTGCTTTGAATAATAAATGGCTTGTAGTTAAAAGAAATATTAATATGTTGTAACCAATCAATAAATATATCTTGAACATGTTCAAAATCAAAAAATCTAAAAGAAAGCTATAACTTTCTTATAGATCATCAACCAAGTCAAATCCATAGAAAGTTGACCCTCCTGAATCTTATAGTTTATCATTAGCTGCCATGAAATTGGTTTTATTCTGTCCCATCTTGAAATAGAAATCCTAGTCTCTCCTCACTCCCTCTTCCTCTTGGTTCCTACTTAGTCTTGTGAAAAGATCATGATTTAGTTTGATTTAACAAGCACAAATGTAAGACCATGATACCATCTAATTTGACTATTTTAGTAAAGATTTACTCTCCTCAACCTAAATATTAGGATTTAAGCCTTCATTGAGGTTACATGGTATGAACATGGCAGCCAAAAGTATCGTTAATGACCACATGCAACATGGCATATTATGAGAAAATATTAACTGTATGAAGATATAGATAGATCTTCATTTGAAAAAAAAAGACTCAAGCTTACTATAAATTTCTTAGGCTCACTTTGGAATTAATATGGTTACTAACATGATATATGAAAAAGCAAAGTTTTATTGTACAGGCTAAAATTCAAGCTTTTGTTGAGAGAGAGAGAGAGATAGAGGCAGATAAATAGATAGATAGAGAGAGAGAGAGAGAGGATTCTTTTATGTATGTCATGCATATGTAAATGGATGTTTATTTTCTCGTCTTAAGCTCATTTGGATATATATATATCCAATTTAGTCTTAGAGGGGGGCAAGGTAGTCTCCATAAGCGCCACGTGATCTATGGACCGTGAATCTTGTGTTGATTTTTTAGGAATCTGCAATCTCGACATTTACTATGCACGATGCACGGACCATGTGTATACTCTGAAGCGGATCAGATTACCGATCGCAGATTATGCCACGTAAACTGCTGAAGGATTCTGTTTAGCGAATACCTGTCCTGTTCCATGGTCTTCTGCCACGTGGATATGACAAAGATGGCGCGTCATGCTACGCTAGCGATCTCATCTCTCTCATTCTGCCTCTCTGTGTCGTCAACTCTCTCTCTCTCTCTCGTCAACTGTTTCTTTCTCTCTCGTCAGCTCTCTCTCTCTCTCCTCCTGAAAGCTAGGGGGGGCGCGCCCGCAGTTTGCTCTACGGTCCATCGAACCTGGACTGATTCCTCTCTCTTTCCCCTTCTACAAAACGCCCACGCCCCTGCGCAGGGGATCCCCCACGTTCTCTCCGTCCTGAGACCTTCTTCTCCGGCCCCATCATCAGCAGAGCAGCTCAGGCGGGGAAGAGGAGGAGTTTCGCGGGGAGAAGAGCATGGCCAGCGCCGCGGTGGAGAAGGTGGCGACCCCCGTCGAGCCCAGCTACGCCACCAGCGGGGCTTGCTGTGCCGCCAACGGCGGGCCAGGGTACGCCTCCCCTCTGGCGGCCATGGAGGGGCCCCGGGAGGGCCTGCTCTACGTCACCTGTGTTTACAATGGTATCGTCACACGCAGATGATCATCTCTACATGGAACTCCCTCGTTAACTTCGAGTATCCGTTTGTCTGTCTAATCTTTGATCGAGAATCGGATTCCCGTCTGCTCTTGCACATTCCCCACCGGGAGGGAGTGGGAGAGAGGAACCCCAAGAGAAACTGACCATGATGTGTTTCCTGTTGAACGATCGCCCCGATTTCCTCTCGCTCTTTCTCTCCTGTGCTTAATCATGTAGTTTTCCTCTGGGGAATCCTAGTTGCGACACCGGAAATGTGGGAACAGACGGCGAACGACCCTACGCTCGTCCAATTTTGGATCTATCCTGGGGCACTCTCTTCCATGAGATTCCAATAGTCAACTCAGGTTTCATTTATTTCTGATTTTTTAGCCTCAGGATTTCACTTGACTGGTGATAAAGCTCTGCATCGATCCGTCACCGAGAAACCTTAAGCTCCTTACAGTTCAGAAATATTATGCCCCTCTCTCTCTCTCTCTGTCTCTTGATGATTCATGGCGCATTTCGTATCTTCTGGAATTAGTTTCGGGATACCCAATTCTCCAATCATCTGTATGCAAGAGAAAAATAACTGAATTCATTGTTTTTTTCGTTTTTCAAAAACGTGCCTGAGATTTACCCCGAATTTAGAGCTACTCAAACTGTCTACAATGGAAATTTTCTGTGCTCTGTGGTCCAATTCTCATGCAGCAAATGACAACGTCTCTCTCTCTCTCCCCTCCCCTGTTTCATAGTTCTGCTCGTTATTCTTTCCCACAGTTCTACATTTATTCATTTTCTCAGTACATCTCCATAATTTTCTACAAATAATCATCATTTCTCTTATACATCATCCTAAAATTAGTGAAAGAACTTTAAGTTTATTTGTCATTGCTTCATTCTGTCGAGGTTCTTTCTCTCCCTCTCCCCTCCATTCGTTGATCCAACAGTCACCATACCTCCTCTGCCACTGCAGTTCCAATCCAAATAGCTGCTTAGGGAAAGGTTGACTTGACTCCCTCCCACTCACGCTCATCTTTCTCTGGTGCAAGGATCTGGGAGAGGGAAGCCTGACTACCTGGCGACTGTCGACGTGGACCCCACCTCACCTACCTACTCGACAGTCATTCACAGGCTTCCTGTCCCTTATGTGGGTGACGAGCTGCATCACTCTGGCTGGAACGCCTGCAGCTCCTGCCATGGCGATCCTTCAGTGGCCAGAAAATTCCTCATCCTCCCTTCCTTGCTGTAAGCTAGCCTATTCTTTGCTGCTTCCACTTGCTGCAAGTTATTTTCTTTTCAATCTTAAACGGAAATTATTTATTAGTTTCCTTTACATCAGAGCAAGAAATACTCACATTTTATTCGAGGTAGAAGTTGTTGAACTACAGATCCTGACTTTGAGTTAGGTGGAGATATAACGATGATTGTTCTTGGGTTATTTCAGGTCGAGCAGGATCTATGTGATCAACACGGCGGACGACCCGAGAGCTCCATCCCTGCACAAGGTCGTCCAGCCTGAGGAGATCGAGGAGAAAACTGGATTGGCTTTTCCTCACACCTCCCACTGCCTCGCATCAAGTGATATTCTGATATCCTGCCTCGGGGACAAGGATGGGAATGCCAAGGGGAGCGGGTTCCTCCTCCTGGATTCAGATTTCAAAGTCAAAGGAAGGTAGATCTTATTCATAACCGCATATTTATATCTGTAATAATCAAGTGGGACTATCTATGTTTTTTTTTTAAAATTTTTTACTTGGAAAAGCATCATGATAATCTGAGCACTCTGTGAGCATGAGATTTTGTGATCATTGACTTCTTTGATTGTCTTTAGCAGAAGAAGATATTGAAAATTTGAAATTTCTGTCCGATCTGAGAATTTCTTTTGATGCCAGATGGGAAAAGCCAGGCCACAGCCCACTGTTTGGGTATGACTTCTGGTATCAACCCAGACACCAGACAATGATCAGCTCCTCATGGGGGGCCCCTGAAGCTTTCTCAAAGGGATTTGACCTCCAGCACGTTGCCGATGGTCTGTACGGGAGACACTTGAGTGTGTATAGCTGGCCCGGCGGGGAACTGAAGCAGACTCTTGACCTTGGGGCCTCGGGGCTCCTGCCCTTGGAAGTCAGCGCCCCTGAACTAGTCCAAATTTGCGAATAATCCTTCAAAATTCATGCAACACTGCTCCCCACTGATGTCACCTTTGACTTTTGTTGACAGACCCGATTCCTCCATGACCCGGCCAAGGACACTGGTTTCGTCGGCTCTGCTCTGAGCAGCAACATGATCAGATTCTTCAAGACTTCTGATGGGTCATGGAGTCACGAGGTATCTTATACCAATCTCCCCTGTTTTTTCTCTAGTTTCATGTCTTTCTCTCCTGCTCTATATGGATTAAGAATAGTCCCATATTGATTATATAAATTGAACCTGTGATGCTGTAGCATCCTTCCAGTGGTTATAATGAGCAGCTATCCATATTATCTTATTACAACGGTTACAGAGTTGTTTTAACGCCAGACTGCAATCTGATGAGACATCAATTGAATAACCCAGAATAATTCAGAGCTATTAGCACTGTGATGAAGGCATTATTACACAACCAGATTAGCCTTAAACCTATTCTGAGTTGGGAAATTAAATTATTTACCATTTATTGGGAACAATACGTTGATCCCAGTTTTGATAACCCATAATTAGACGTATTTTTATGTCGGAGAAATTGAATTATGTGCCATTTCATCAGAAATGGTACCTTCACTACAGTTTTAGTGGCTCTTATATAATACTGAGGGCCATTTAAAACTATGGTGAAGGTATTATTCACAATGGGAGTAGCCTTAAACTTACTTTGAGCTGGGCAATTAAATTACTTACCTTTCCTTGGCAATAAAACTTTGAATGATGTTTTATTTTCTCTTAATTATTACTTAGAAGCCATTAAAAACTGAGGTCTAGGTTTTATTTAGCCTTAAGCTTATTTTGAGCTGGGCAATTTAATTCTTTACTACTCATTTAAATAAGGTTCATTAAAACTATGATCAAGGCCTTATTCCCGAACAAATTAGGCTTGAAGTTAGTTTTGATCCGGTGATTAAATTAATTCTATTCATCGGAAAGAAAAGTTTGACTGCAGATTTAATGGGCCTTAATTACCTATTATGAGGTGGTCAAGTTATTTTCCCCGAATCAGATTAACCTCAGAACATATTTTGATCCGGGGAAGAAATTATTTTCCATTCACCGGGGAGTCATACTTTAACCACAGTTTCAGTGGCTCTTAACTATCCTTTGAAACTTTGTTTCAGCCAGGCGGAGAAATTATTGACCATATTTGGCATTGCCATTGGCAGGTAGTGATATCGGTGAAACCGCTGAAGGTGAAGAACTGGATTCTGCCGGAGATGCCAGGGCTGATAACGGACTTCCTCATCTCCCTGGACGACCGCTTCCTCTACTTTGTGAACTGGCTCCACGGGGACATCCGGCAGTACAATATCGAGGACCCCTCCAAGCCCGTGTTGACCGGCCAGGTCTGGGTCGGTGGGCTGATCAGGAAGGGTGCTGACGTGTCAGCCGTGGATGAAGAGGGCAAAGAGACCCAGTTTGAGGTCCCAGAAGTCAAGGTTAGTATGACCAGATATGGATCAGATTAGATCAGCTGAATCAAACGAGACTAAATAAAGTAACCCGATCTTTGAAATTACAGAAGGTTTGACTATTCTGTTTGTGGAAATCGCAGGGGAATCGGTTGCGGGGGGGACCACAGATGATCCAGCTGAGCTTGGACGGGAAGCGGCTATATGTGACGAACTCCCTCTTCAGTGTGTGGGATCGGCAGTTCTACCCGGAGCTCGTCCAGGAAGGGGCCCACATGCTGCAGCTAGACGTGAACACTGAGGAGGGTGGGCTGGCGGTCAACCCCGACTTCTTTGTTGACTTTGGCTTGGAGCCTGAGGGCCCCTCACTCGCCCATGAGATGAGGTACCCGGGAGGCGACTGCACCTCCGACATATGGATATGATCTGCTGGCTTCCGGGCTCTTCTCTTCCTCTTCTTTGCCGTCCACTGGCTGCAGAAAGAGAGAGGCAACAGTACAAGACTCTTCAAATCCAAGTGCAAAAAGGTAAGTAGACCTATGGACTCTAATCTATGACATACCCAGACCGCACCTGGACCTTCCACCAGTCTCTGTTATAATACTCTCTTAGCTATATAATAAAAGGAGAAGAAGACATCTGTATCTGTTGATTCTCATCCAATCATGATATCTTCTTCTAGTGATTTCTATTAATTAGTGGATTCCCTTTGAAGTTCCTGAGAAAATTATCAATGATCAAGGTGGATCTTTCATGATTGAGAGTGGATGGGGTTTGGTCCAGGCCATTTTTAGAAGGCCCAGAAGGTGGTCCAGGCCTCATGATGTTGGTTAGTTGTTCACTTTGGGTGAGCCCTAGTACAATTCTGGCCTTCGACTTTGGCAGAGTTATTGAGTCGTTCACCTCAAAGTAGATAATGGCTGGATGGATAGCTCCTATTATAGTACCTCATATGGATAAGTTGACTTTTAGGTGCCATCATATGGGTAAAAAAAAAAAGTATATTTAGGTCCAAGGTAATTACTTGCGTACAAGGTAAACACAACTAAAAATGGGTTGGAGATGATGAAGCATTATCAATGAGAAATTACCAGCCAGAGAATTGTTGACTGCACTGGTATAATCACAAGGGAAAGAATGGTACATAGAAATTAATCTATTAGAGATGCATAAGAGATCATATTTTTAAGATATAAGAATATATGGATTTCTTTATGTGAATATTTTGGAAAGTGTTCCACTCAATTTGGAAATGGAAATTGTCGATTTTTTTTTCCCTGGTAGACTTGTGGGTTCATGTTTTACTAGAAGTGTAGTGTTATCATGTAAAACAATTATTTTCTAGCATATGTTCCCATGTCAATCTTCCCAAGGTCAAATCTCAATTCTAATTCAAAGTTCTGATGATAAGGAGAATGTTAATAAATAGATGATTACCAGATTTATAGGGAAACTTTTTTTCACAAAATATATTATTTTAGTAAAATATTATATCTAGTAAACGGATGTTTTATGGTGTAAGAATATAGAGTGCATGTCTAATTGAGGGTATCTTTGACGATAGTCAAACAGAAAAATGATAATTTATCACTTTTCAATAAAGAAAAAGGTTGATCTCTAAAGATAGTATTAAGATAGAAGTCATGCATTTGCCATCAAGCACCTATCTTCATATAATGCATTGAATCAATATATGATTATTATATATTGATACACCAATCTTCATACCTCAAAAATTAAATCACCTTTTGTTCAAAGAGTTGTACCACATGAGTTTGAGCGAGGTCAGGCACAAATGCTTGTCCATAGTCATATAGCCTTCTATCCTCTAAATTATTTTCCCTAGTCAAATTGAAGTACTCTAGTGAGTGTTACATATGACCTTGGAAGAATCACATTACCCATAGTCGAGCACGAGAAGGGCATTCAGTGTTTTTCACTCTCATGGCAATGTGCATCAATACTTTGCTCACTTAAGCAAAGAGGCGACAAAGATTTAGGCCAAGTCTAGGTTAGAGTCCATAAACATGAAAGAGGAATAAAGTAAGATGTGGTGCAACAGTTTAAGTCCAAATATGAGACCAAGGAACGAAAGTTTCCCTCATCTCTGCCTTTTGGTTAATGTTTTTTCATGCAGCATTAAACGTTTATTGGTGGTATTCAATGTGTTGGGAGCTTCTTTATGGGCAGAAACTTATAAACTAGTTGGTTTATAGAATGGGAAGTTAAGTGAATAGAAGGGAGTGATGGGTAAAGGCCACCAAATGGAGAAGGTGGGATGGTATGACAGGGGGAGGGCACGGAAGTGGTAGAGGGTGATCGTCAAAGACTAAGATAAAAGAGCACATAGTTGATGGAGGGCGGCTAGAAGGGCATTGCAAGGCCAATACTTTGGGAAAGGAGGTTTACATGGATGGAGAGAAAGAACAGGGGAAGACAAGCTGGCAACTAGGAGGCAGTACTATTGCCATTCTCTCTGGAAAGAAAAAAATATATTATAGAAAGAAAGCATTGATTCAAACCCTATGTATGTCAACCCATGTGAGTCAAGTTAATGAGTCTGTAAAGCTATCATAGAGTCATTTGAAGGGAGAGGAAGTCACCATAAAATGTGTGTGTAGACATGAATTGACCTAGAAACTAACAAGACAAGCTTAGGAGAGAGAAAAATGAAAATCCCTTGTGAGATATGACACATGAAAATTAATTTGTGCTGGAGCATCTATGATCATTTGCAATGAATCTTGACGCAGGAAAACATCAAAATGATCAAATAATTTCTTACTAACACGTGGTATGACTCAACCAGAAATAGCAAGCTAAGTAGGTTGACTACACATATTTTTTTAGGTCCAAACAAGAGTCAACGTATAATATCTTTGACTAATTAAACCTCAGTCATCTGAATCTCAAAACAACGCCTAAGCTTCTTGAAGTATTAAAAAAACCATGAAACAAATAGTTTTTACTCTATGAAATTCATTCATAAGTATTTGGTTTTGTAATATGTGAAAGGTATTTAGTGGAGTAATGATAACAACATAAAAGGCAAGATGGATCCTTGTTGTCTAGTGTGAGGAAGTAGACTTGTGAAATTTATTTTTTAGCATGATTTAGCAATGCTATGAATTTAAGTTCTTACTTTCTTGAAGATAATAGTGAATATGAATGGTAGAAATCGTTGATAAGTGGATATAGGCTACAAAATGCTGAACCATGAAAAAGATCATGCCCTTACTGATTCTTGAATGATGTGTTTGCCTTGTGAGTTGACCTAAATTAGTTGACACAAAGCATACCTACCCACATAGCGCATGAAAATTTTGGCACCCTAAGAAAATAAAAAAAACCCTAGGTGAAACACAGAAAATTGTAAATAAAAAAATATAGATAACAAATACAGCCCCCTCGATTTTGGCACCCTATCATCGTACTTGGATGATGGCTTACAAGTCTCTCTCTCTCTCTCTCTCTCGCTCACTTTCTCTCTCTATCTCTCTAAATACAGTATAACCTTGTATTTAGAGTGCATAGCCACTCAAGGCTCATTTGGAACCTAATGTCATATGTTTATTGTGGATGTACGTCCTAAACACTCAATGTGTGCACCCTGGTCTTTGTTGGAACATCAAGCAGACTCCCTTGACAATATGAAAAGCTTAAAAAAAATTCGATTAAAATAACAAAGGAAGAGGACCTGGGAATAGGACTTCTGAGCTGAGCGAAATGAGCCTTAGCTTGCTCAAGGGATTTGGATATAACATCCATGAGGGAAGACCTCTCTTCCTTCCAAGTCTACCCAATAAATCAGGCCCTCCTTATAAGTGAGTGGAATACATACATGATTAACTACCTAGTTAACCACATAGACATGGTCACCTTGACTATGTTCATAGTGGTGTGCTTATCATGCATGTAACTGCTATGGCTACCACTACCACTTTTAAACCACTTTTCATGTAACTGTAACATGTCATAATCTGCTTGTCATGTCTCATGTCATACCACCCACTTTGTGTATCTTGCATCATGGAATTCATTGGGCACACCCCACACCATACTTCCCACTTGGTGTGCCTTGCCTCATGCTACTTGTTGGGCACACCTCACACCATACTGCCCACTCAACATGCTTGGTCATCCACTTTGCTAGCGCTAAGTCATACCAAGTCTACCTTATTGAAGTAATAAATGTATCATATTTTGATGATGTTAGACACATAAGATCAATTACCAAATCTAGTTATGCTTATTCTCTTTGAAATTTACTCATAAGTAAATATATTTTTATGGATAAGTATAACTTTAATTGAATTAAAAAAATACTAGATTTAACTTCAGATAACTTCTTCTTAATTTATTTAATTTTTTATTTCTAATCCTAAGATATTTTGAGTTCTGAATCTGAATTACTTTGATATTTTTAAAGTACTTCGGCCCTCTACCTATATCCACTCTCTAAGAATAATCTCGTTTTTGGGTTCCACTAAAGTGAATGCTCACCACAAAGCTATTCATTTTCAGATTCACTTCTTGCAAATTTCACTTTGAAATTCTCTTCTAGATTTCTGACTCTATGAAACCAACATACAATTATAGAGTTGGGTTCAACTCTATTAAGTGATTAAATCAGGATTTAATCATAAGTTTTCTAAAAAATATTAGGATGGATTTTACTATGAGTTGTTTCCATTTGAAAGGATTGAGTTAAATTGTGTTTGGAAACTTGATGAAGAGGATGATGATAAAGATTTTCTTTTTACTATCCTCTTCTTGTAAGGAAGTTGGCTAAATGTACATGATGTAGGCACCCTGATTTCTTCAAGGAAGATTTCATGAAACTTGAATTTCATTCTTCAATTTGTTGTGTTCTTGTAACTCGATAAGCAGTGGAATAACTCTTAAATTTGCATAGAAATTTCTGTAGAAAATATCAATTAGACTCTTCAGGAAATCTCAGTAAAAAAATCTTTCCTTTTTTCGTAGTCTCTCAATGTTTCAATCATAAAATTAGTTGGAAATGTGAACAATTAGAAACTAATAAGACAACCTTTAACAATTCAGATATTTTTCATAAGAAATTAATATACATGATCGTTAAGCATCCAGATATATATCTGAAGCATGTCACTTCAATAATACAACTCAAAATATATCTCAAAATAAATTAATATATTTACAATAGAAATTTATTTAAATCACATCAAAAAAATTATGATTATCACGGAAATATATTGAATCACTGTCTCAACATGTAAAGTCATAACTTTGGTAGTAAAAAAAATTTAAAATTAAAATTCAAATAATATTCGTTAATTTTCAAAAAATTGTGATCGACAATATGATTTTTCAAAATTGAGTAAATCAATTAGATATTAAAACTAACTTGAAGCCATGATTTAGTGGTAATGATTTGTGTGCTGGTTGGAGATGACAACCCGTACCTCTATACAGAGATGAGAACGCCGAGCTGGGAAAGCGGGATAACGGAGATTCTGCGAAGACAGATATATCACGGGCAAGGGAGGAGGAGCTGGGAAACCGCCCAACCAGCGCGAGTAACTGTTTGAAAAGCTCCGCATCTGAATCCTCTTCTCTGCAATAAAATAACAAGATAAAACAGGAATCCAGAAGACTCTTGCCATGTTCAAAGAGAGCGCTGATGTCAGCGAGACACGGCCATGCAAACGACCAGACCCTCAAGCCCCCAGCCGTCTTCCAGCTCACCATCAGTTCATCCCCGGAAAATAATTCAGGTGGGAGAACGGGCTGGAAATTAAAATTGGCGTTTCTCCTCCCGGTCTCAATCCGACGAGCATCATTCCCCACACATATTCTATTCCTCATTTTATTGCTGATCACAGTCTTCATCACGCTCTCGGTTTCCACTGAAGAAAACCATTGGCCTGACTCGCGCCTGGAAGATGACCAAAACGAAGGTCTCCCTGTTAAAGTCGTTTCCACACGTTTACTGGCATTTGGACCGAGAAGACGAAGCTCGCCCATCTTTGTGACTCAGAGATGAGTGTACCAGGCTCCTGCTCCTCTCTGCCCCAAAAGAATTTATCTAAGTAGTCTTATCATACTCTTTACTAGGTTTCCTGTCTTCTGGCCCACACACCCCGTCATTGTTGAGGTTGAGGTTGAGGTTGATGTTGATGTTGATGTTAACAAAGATCCTATGCGTTGACCACGGACCTGCAATTGAAAATGGATTCTTCATCCGGAGAGAGGGATCGGCGTTGGGATCTCGCTCCTCCCGGTCAACGTATCTGAAAGGTCTCCCTCAGCCACCTGCAACAGCTGATGTGATTTGCGCGCATTAGTAACGGATGTAAGTTCCCGAGCTCAAGTTACGGGAGGAAGTTCCGAAAATGCCCTTCTACGTGTCGGCTATAAAACCGGCGCCACTTTTTCAACTGACCTTTCATGCAAGTGGAAGCATTCAAGAGGCATCTATCCACAGTGGTTCAGAAGCACCGTGTCTGTAGCTAGGGTTTTCGAGAAGAAGCGAAGCTTCCTGACCAGTATCACGCTTCTATACTCTGGTCGATCACGAAGGCAGGAGGTTTTTTTCTGCTTGATTATCTTACCTTGTTTTCATTTTCTATTGCGTGAAGGGGACTCTCGGCAAGAAAAAAGAGAGAAGAAGAACGAACAACTTGAACTTCATCCACTCATCTCTCTTAATCAGGCCTCCATCAAGGGAAAAGGGAGCTCGCCCAGTGAAATCAACACACAACATTCTTTGATCAATCCAACATCTAACGAGAAGAGGAAAGATAAGTCCTTGTGCTCAACTCTCTTTTAATCATACAAGATATAACTACCGAGGTGGCAACGTAATTTGGTAATTACTCTTTTTTTTTTTATTTCAAGAAATTTTGTGTTGTTAGATTTTGATATCCAAAAAATGAAAAGTAAGACTTATCTTGTTAGTTTATGGAAGCTTTAGGAGCCTTAATTATCCTAAAAGATTTTGACGAGGACAAACACACAAGATAAATTAATCAATAGAATTATGAATAATATTGTATATTTATATATTAAACCTGGGTGATTTTCATGATGTTAACTTGAAACTAAATAATTATAAATTCATGGAGAATTAGTAATAATGATATCAAGGGCCTACATTGTCACTCGATGAACATATATGATGCTCATAGTTTCAATTATAGTTATATGATGAATTTGGATTTATAAATCATTATGTTATCTACTTTTGTGAAAAGTGTTAATAATTAAAAAAATTAAACTAATGAAAAGTAATAATTTGGAAATTGGATTTTATTTAAATACTTGAAGTAAAATATTGCTATGAATGTTTAACTAGTAACTAGATATCTAAGACTCAAAAGAATCACTTTTAATCATTGTTTATTCATAATTACTTAATTGAATCCAAACATGATAAGCTTTTCTATTTTCCTAAATATCCTTGAATCCAAACTATATAAATTATTCTTGAGAATTTTATAAATATTATTGAATATTAATTGAAAAATTATTATAGATTATCATATAGTACTGAAGTAATAATGTAAGATAGTTATATGATCATGTCTATAATAATTATAAATTAATATTTACATCTATGCATTAATATCTTATATATAGATACTAATTAATAGGTAGAGAATATAATTATATATGTGTTACTAACTCATTATGATATTCATAAGATTTTATCATTTAAGTCATAATACATATTATTTTATTTATATTATGAGACTAACCCTACTTGACTTTTATGAATTCAAGTAATGATTCTTTCATATTTTCTCAATAATTATTTGATTGCAAGAATTTAGGTGAACTCTTATTATGAGTTGGAAGTAATGGAAGAAACTCAAGTTTTCAGCTTAAGGAAAAGCCTAAGTCTTATGGAGAGGGTCGGCCTAATATGATTATGGGCCTAAAAAAGATGTCACTTTGGCTTAGCCTATTTAGACTTAAAAAGACTATCAAGAGATGAGATCTAGACTGCCAATCTTAAGACACTTTAAGATGAGATTAAGAAGAGAATTAAAACGTCACCCTCATTAAAGAATTTAAACTATTCATCAAGAGAGTCGGTTATTAATTATAACCATCTATTAGAGGGGCCTAATTCTTGAGAGGTTTAAGACATCTCGCCCCCTTTTTGAAGGGTGCTTTTCAACTCTCTCTCTAGTAGTGGTTAGTTGAAGGAAAAAGAAGAGAAATCAAGACTTGGTCAACAACATTCTCATGCCCAAGATCATCATAGAGAAGAGACTACTTAGAGAGTATCAAGATTATTGTAGATCAAGCATCACTTGGCTTATGACTGACGCATAATGAGGTTTGTACAAAATCTAGACTTGGGGCGTCCTTCTAATTTTTTTTATAAATAGATTAACTCTTAGTTGAAACTAGTTTTATCATTTGTTCTATCATTTCATTACGTTAGATTTATTCTCTCTCCTTTGTCACACTTTTCATTTCTCTTATCTTTACCTTTGTTAGATTAATTCCACCCTTCACAATCTTCATTATATATATATATATATAATAATAAGATAAGTAAAATTCTTAGTCCCATTATCCACACACCTTAAGAATAGACCCTTACTTATCCTAAACAAAAGAGTGAGGTTTTATAAATATTATTTACATAAATTTGATTGCATCACGATGACATATCTAACTTCTAAAGCGAGTTCATTAGTCTACCTCACATTCATATTTTATTTGAGGTTAGTTTGATTTATTTTAATTTTAAGTCATTATTTTATTTAGAGATACATTTATAATTATTTTTTAACAAACAATTTTCATATAAAATATCTCAAAATTGATAATTTCAAATATATATCTTAGAAATTAAAGGCTATATTTATTTGTTCAACCTCAGATAATATAGAAACTATGTAAGGCGTCTTAGAAGCTTTTTACACTTTAAATTTCTAACCTTCTTATTTTGACACCTCAACGGCCTCCGTGGGGAGATTTTCTTCCTCTGCTGCGCCTCGACCGCTGCCGCTTCTGGATCCCCAGCGTGGTGTCTCTGGCCTGCTCCATGCCGATGGTGTGGGCCATCCAGTGCAAGTAGACAGCGGAGAAGCAGGCGGAGAGCTTGTTGCGGAGGGAGGAGGAAGGTGGGCGACTGCTGAAGAGGTGCGTGGAGGAGCTCAAGAGGAACGGGGTTGAGTTTGATCTTCTGAAGGAAGTGGATGCCCTCAGGAGGGCGAAGAGCCGGGTCAGCAAGTCTGTGTCGGCCCAGGCCATTAAGGCACAATTTCCCTTCTTAAGTTTTGTTTATTTATTTAGCATTGGAGAAAAATTATCAATACTCTTGTAACCATGGAGACGAAGGTAGAGAGAGTCATTTAAGGTTTTTCCTCTTATCTCTCCGAAGCAGAGGCTGCAAGGGTCAGTTATGCAGCACCACCGCCACCACCGTCATCTACCAACGCCGTCATCCGCTGTCGCCTTCATCCGCCACCTTCATCTGTCGCCCCCGTCCTTCCGCCATCGTCCGCCTTCTGCCCACCGTCGTCCGTCTGCAGCCAGTCGCCATCGCTGCCGCCGTCCGTCACCGCTGCCACTGAGCACCACAGTAGTTATCTGCCGCCGCTTCCCTCCACCGTTCTCCAGCCACCACCGTCGTCAGTCCGCTGCTGTCGATCGCCGCCGCCAACTCCGCCCGTTCCGCCGCCGCCCTTTCCGCCGCCCCCCAATCCGCCCTTTCCGGACGAGTTGCCGTTCCCGTCTTACCAAATACAGTTAAATCCCCGCCGGTTCGTGAACCCGGACCTGCCCGGCCCAATCCAGTTTGGCCGCCTGGTAGACCACCGCCTCCACGGCCGCCTCAAAGGCAAACCACAAGTCAACGTTCAATGCTCAACGGTACGGATCGTCTCACCATATATGTGGACCCCATTGATTCCAAAGTCAGAATGTGGAACCTTTATAACTCGATCTTGGTAGGCAAAAATTTTCCGCGGCGGAAAATATTCTAATCTTTTAGCAGCCGAAAGGATACGATGAGAAGGGTTTCCTCCATAAATTTAGGGCAACGACCATCCAATGATTTCGCATCCTCTCTTTTCGGAGTTCGATCCTTCGATGGCGAAGAAAACCTAAGGAAGGGACTCATCCTTGTTCTCGGCGCTCAGTATTCTGTTGTTGTCGCTGCTGCTGGTAGCTAAGGTTGCGATGGCACAGCAGTACGGCGGAGGAGCAGGAGACCGTGGGGGGCCAGTCGGAGGAGGCCGTGGCGGCCCTGACGTCGACGTCGATGTGCCGGAAGCGGAGCATCCTTGGGTCCAGCTACCGCTGGGGCTTCTTCCTTCTTGTTGCCATTTTCCATCTCTTCTACTGAAACCTAGGTTTTCCATCTCTTCTAGCGTGAGTCCCCCTCGTGAGCTTCTCCTCTGAGCTCGATTTATATGTTCTCTGTGGGTGGACGAACAACCATCTGGGGTTTCATTGACAGGTGTTCTCCCATTGATGTTGCCGAGCTCGCCGCCAACAGTGGTCTCTGGCCTTGGCGGGAACAGCAACAAACGCATCTTTCTCCTGTCTGTTCCTCTCTCTCTACATCAGGTTTGGAAATGGACCGGGAGTGTCTGGTGCGCATGCACAGCCTTGATCTTCTTGTAAAGTACATTGATAGAAATATCTTCATGTTAAGATTTCTTTGAAAACCCAAGATTTCAAGCTGGCGCCTTGCCAAGTTGTGGTTGAAAGCTCAGAAGGAAACCAATCCATGTCGGGGTAAGATTCTTGTACAAGATATGCCCGTACACAAGTGGTATTCGAAGATATCGTTATGTCTTCATTCTGTAATTTGTATGGCTCCCAAGTTCAACACTCCATGGTAAAAGACGCCCTGCCTTAAAGAAGAAAAATGACATGCCAGATTTCTCACGCCAGTGAAAAACACAGCCCAATACACAAAGCGTCCGCCGTGTAGTTTGATTAAATGTCAAATCCTATCTGCGTAATTGGTCAATGTAAGTGCAGTTACGGTAAATCATTGTGAATGCTTTATTCTCTACGTTCCATGACATCGTCACTAAAAGATAAGGAAAGTTATAAGCTCTAGAAAGGCCGAAGAAAGAACATTTTTGTGTTTTCATAAATCTTTAGTGCTACTAGAAGTTGTCATATATGATTAATGTACACTTAGTGGTGATATGACCTCATTAGAATTGTTTAGAGGTAGTGAGCGACATACTTCAGGGATAACATGTATGCATCCATCCCGTTCACTCACTCATTATCGCTCAGTATATACACGCATCATGTGTAGATTTATTTGAGATATGTTTATCCATCAATCTCCGAGCCTCTGCTTTTCTCACTTTGTATCTAGCTGCTCTCAATACTGATTGTCATTTAGATATACCATTTGTCTCTATTTGTATCGAGTTACAAGATAACCAAATATAACAAAAGCATGTGACATGTAGTTTGCTTAAATATTGAATCATATCTGCGTAATTGGTTGATTTAAGTGCAGTTACCGTAAACTATTGTGAGTGCCTTATTCTTAACGTTCCATGATATCATTAGTAAAAAAAATAATGAAAGTTATAAGCTCTAGAAAGGCCGTAGAAAGAACATTTCTATGTTTTATTAAATCTTTAGTGTTACCAGGAGTTATCGTATGTGATTAATGTAGACTTAATGGTCACATGATCTCATTAGAACTATTTAGACGTTGTGGGCGACATACCTCAGGGACTACGTACGCTCCCATACCGTTCACTCGTTCGTTCTCGCTTAGTATATACACATGCATCAGGTGCAGATTTATCTGAGATCCGTACCTCTGTTTTTCTCTCTTTGTATCTTGGTACTCCCAATACTGACAATCATTTAGATATGCCATTTGTCTGTGTTCGTATCGAGTTACAAGATAAAAAAATATAATATTCGAAAGGATTAAACATCTAATTGAATTTTGAGCCTGATCAACCCGTGTTAGCTTCAATCAAGACGGATCTAAACAATTAAAAATTCCATTAGGACTGTTTTGTATTATATGTTAAGAGCTACATATATAATATTTTTGTCACTTGGAATTTTATCTTTAAAATAACCTTCTTTGTGCTTTTCTCTCTACTTTAATTTTGATTATTTTATTTTGACAATTATATCCTTCAATTATATCTCGTCTATCAGCTCTAGCTCAATAAGGATCAATTTCAACAAGTTTTGTAAAATGTTTGTAATAGTTGAGTGAGCCCGGTGCACTAGATGACTTGTGATTATCTTAAACCTTTGATTCACGGTGGTTCAACAATTTGGGCCTAATATACTTTTTAAAGATCTCATCTCTTTTCTTGTTTTTTGTAAAGAATCTGAGAACAAGGATATAGCTAGCTTTTATAAACTTGTAATTCTAGATTACCACAATCTCTGAAAAGCTTGTGTTAGCATGTGCTACAAAGGTTGGTTTTAGGTTGGATTGAGCACATTATTGGACTCAGTTTTATTTGCATTCAATATGATTGTGAGCCTCATACAATGTAGTAAAGATAAATGGTTACAATATTCAATCCATTGATTCCTTATGCTTGGAAAAGTGTCGGTCATTGATGTGAAGGCTTCATTTTAGTATACTGATCATGTAACAATCTACATTTAGGCCCAAGAATTTCATTCTAGGGACTCCGATGATAATACTCAAGTGCATTCTCATATAGTTCAAAATTTTATTTCCTTTTATTGGAGCTTAAATTAGTTTCTCAGACATTTTTCATGGTCAGTTCTTGCTTTCCAGCAGCTGCTCATGAGGTGCCATCGTCAGGTACCTTATATTTTCTATGTTTTGTGTTATACCTGACGAGTATTGTGAACATAAGACTCCTTCAAAGTAAGTGCAGTTGACAGATGACTTGCGGGTCGTTTTTTGAAATAAGAGAAGAAAAAACATTAAAAAAATTATTCAATGGTTAGTATATGATTTTAGACAGAGAGACACAGAGAGAGAGACAGAGAGAGAGAGACAGAGAGACAGAGAGAGAGAGAGAGAAAGAGACAGACAGAGAGAGAGAGAGAAGAGAGAGGATTTTAGACAAGGAGACGACAATTTTTTGACTAGATGCGGCTGTCCCTACCAGTAGAGAGAAACTGGGGTAGACTCGTAAAGACTTGCCATAGGCACTTGGGGCTTCAGGGCCGTCCAGGCAACGTACGGTGTTTTCCTGATAAGGATTACGAGGAGACCTGAAGTCAAAGAAGCCGGACGTCCTTTTGGAATCAAAACTCGTGGAGAGCATTGCCCTGAATATGAACGGATATAACCCTACGCGGTCAGAGATTCCTCTTAATCTTTAGTTTATAAAATCATTCATCTATTATATTGGAATCTCAACTAAATCCATCCTTGCTAAAATCCAATGTGAGCATATTATTTTTCCACTAATATTTAGTAAGGTACTCCTTCTAAACATGTGAACTCAAAACAGATGAGACACTAAAATCCAAATCATTGGTAAAGCATATTGACTATCTGGCAATTATATTCGCAGTTCTTCAAATCGTGCAGTGAAATGTAGGACATGCTGGAATTGTGTACATAATAAGGATTCAAAGTAGCTGGTTCAATAGATGCTTCACACGATAACACTGGTCTAGAAGTCAGCATGATTTTATCCTTTGGCTGAGAAGGAAGTGTAATAAAACCTAAAGCAATGTCCAATAAACTTGTCATTCCCATCTCAGTCTTCATGAAGCAAAATAACGCAGCCCATGTATGGAAGAAAGTTTTAATGCTGACATCTTCCCTGAGAAAAGAAGTTTCTGAAAATCAATTAAGGTATATGTATGACAGTACCAGAACTAAAGATGATGGGCAAACCACCATCCACAGGGGAAAAACATGAACAGAGAAATAAATCCTTTTTTCCATTAATTATCACCAATTCAGACATTTTTCAGGCTTCTCTTCGTGGCTAGCCTCAGAGGCAGGCTTTTAAACATATTACTGAAAACCTAATAGCCAAATGACGGCTGGTATCACGTAATCAGTCAGTCTCTTGACAGAAAAATTCTCTAGGAGTAACTAATGACAAGGTCCAATTCAACAGTATTTTCGTGAAATGCACTTAAAAAGCTTCAAAATACCTCTGAATGAACGGGTTTTCAAAAGTTTCTGGCCAAAGGCTAAGGCAGCCTGTTCTTTTAATGCTTTAAGGACCTCTGAAGTGTTAAAGTTGAGCAACGAAAATCATCACATCGGAAGTACAGACCTTCCTCTCTCAGAGACAAGAATGCGATTTCATCGTCACTAATGCATCTGACAATATGCATCAGCCGTATTCTGATTTCGAGACTGCAACCGACATTCACATTGCCTTAATTTCATGCTCGTGAAAATATGTAGCCTGGCAAGTACTGTTTTACCGCAAGAGTAGTATCAAACTACAAACGAAAAAAATGAGAACCTATTCAATGGAAAGAAACACAAGAAAAGGCATGGGGAAAAAGAAAACCTGGAAGGTTCTCCATGAGCAGCCAGCCAAGGCTCCAGCCCAGGCTCCAGTCAATGTGCGGGTGCAAACGAAAACCTGGTCTCTGCAGCACATCCCATCCCAACTGCGCCAGCCCCTCTTGAGTTCACCATGAACTTGCTGCACTCTGCTAGGTTCGCCTGCTTCCCTAGCCAGTTGAGCACCTTCAGTCCATCCTCGAACGCTGCCGGGTACCTGCTCTCTCGTACCAGCCTGTACCCTACTGCAATGACCTTCACATCACATAGCTTCGCAATCTGACAACAGAAGCAGTCGTTGGCCACCGACAAGTTGCTCCCCGCGACGAACGTTCCGCCGTGGAACTGCAGGATCATGGGCAACCTGCGGCCTGACCAGCGACCCCCAGCGCCAGCATTCACAGCGCCGCATACCGAAGACAAGTAACCCCTGTAGACATCGGCAGCCTTCATCTTCTCCACACCGCCGCCGTAGCTGCAACGCTCTGGAACCAAAGAGGTAACCGTTGGGACGGCACCACCGCCGTAGCTGCTCCGACGTCGGCCGTGGTTGAAACCGACGAGCTGGAGATCATCCCCCGCCCCTTTGTCCCCAAAACCGGAGGCAGCGGGGGCGGGGGCGGCTCCGGAGTCATTTTCTCTGTTCCGGCGCTCCCCGGAACCCTCCGAGTCACCGGAGGCGGTAGCAGGCGTAATCGGAGCAGAGGGGCAAGGCTGGCAGGAAGATGCGAATGGGGGAGAGAAGTGAGGGGGTCGATGTATTCGTACGTTCGGATGCCTTTCCTCCCACTTGACTTCTACCTGGGGACCATCTCTTTGCCTGGATCGTTCTCTGACCTAATATTTCAGCGAAATCCGCGCGTGCCAGTCGACAAATAGTTCAGACAAGAAAGGATCGCAGTCCTCGTTGTTCCAAACTTTGGTCTTAGAGCTTCTGAAGCTTTCGGATTCTTTCCTTTTATTGAACACGTGTTTGACCTTCTTAATGGTACCTACTGGTCATGAACAGGTCATGGTTAGGTGGCCGCTTATAGTATTTAATGATAATCCAACAGACTGCTCCCCGCGTAGTGTTAGAACACAAGTCGTTGACGCGGTTGGGGAAGACGAGCGGCAATGGCGGTGATGTGAGGGAAGGCGGCAAGCAATTTCATTCAACCAAGTATATATTAACTGAAGAGTAAGAATGAAACAGTTCCTGCTCAAGACACGAACCTAATCCAAAGGCTGATCCTACTACTATTATGATTCTTGCTCAGGTTTCTGAGAACATCAGTGAAAAGATGAACGCTGAATCACTTACACGATCTAACTCTTCGTTGTTTTCTTCCCCGCCAAGAGATCATTTTTATCAGTAATTAATTGGGTCGAGCGAGAAGTTCTTAACCAAGATTTGTCGAACTTCAATTTACCGTGTAACGATGTCCAACGCGTCATTTTACGTATATTTGAAGAAATGTTGTTCCGCTTGACATTTCGTGGCGGATTGTCTCTCAATGTTTGTTGACTGGATTGATTCCAACGTCAGAATGTGGACCATTTGATAGTTCGAGGAAAAAAGTTCTGATCTCTTAGCGAACCCAGGCGGGAACCCTCCTCCGTGCAGTCCTGAGCCACAGTTAACGTACATGAGAAGGCTTTCTTCTCTCTCTATAAATTAGGGCGAGGGCCATCCAATGGGTTCGCATTCTCTCTCTTACGGATCATCTCCGATCTCTCAATTGCGAACATAATCGGAAGAATGAAGTCATCCTTGTCCCTGGTTCTCTGTGTTCTATTGTTATCGCTTTTGCTCGTAGCTGAGACTGTGGTGGCACGGTCGTCCGGCGGACGCGGTGGCGGCGGAGGTGGAGGAGGGCGTGGGGGAGGAAGTGGGGGCGGGGGCGGAAGCGGAGGAGGCCGTGGGGGCGCAGGTGGAGGCCGTGGTGGCGGAGGGGGACGAGGGGGCGACGGTGGCAACGACAACGGCGATGGAATAGGAACTAGCAGTGGTGCCGGAAGTGGGTCAGGGAGCGGTGGCGGAGGCTCCTTTGGGTCCGGCTTGTTTTCCCTCTCCCGAGTGGGCTTCTTCCTTCCTTTAGCCATTTTCCATCTTTTCTTCTGCTGAAACCTGGGTTGCTTGCGTCTAGTCGTGAGCTTCTCCACTCCAAGCTCGATTTATTGGTTCTCTTCTAGTCGAGGATCCATCAACTGGAACTTCACTTACAGCTGTTCTCGCTAGGAGATTGTCGACCTAGCCGCCAATAGTAAATTCTTTTCAACGGGGAGAAGAACAAACCTTTCCTTCTTATGTGTCTCTTTTCGGCATCAGGTTTGGAAAACCCCACGTGTACAGTTTAAATGTCAAAATGGACGGGTACGTCCTTCAGTAGTGTTTGCTGTACATTCACAGGCTCGATCATCCTGTAAATTACACTTGTTAGACGATTTTCAGATTTTGCAGGGCAGAATACCAATCATTTCCTTGGAGAATCCAAGATATGAAGCTGGTGCATTGCCAAGTTGTGGTCTTAACCTTCATGAAAACCAATCCCTATCGTAATCAACTTTTATAAAAGATATGTTGATATTCAAGTGATATTCAAAAATATCATATTTGTTGGTTCGTTTATCCCCAATTTTTACATGTTCCACTTTCCAGGGTAAAATGTGCCTTGATAAGAATGTAACACATAAAACCATACTTCAAAATTTTAAGTATTTAATAATTAATGAATTTTATCATTTTTACATATGTATGTTGTGTATTTGAGACCCATACATTGCCATTAAAGGTCCACTAAACCAGTTGTTGGGCCAAACATTTGGCGTAATAAGTTAGAGATAAAAAGGAATCTTTTGCCCAAACTAGGGTATGATAAGGATAAATCAAAGGGAGCATAAGAAAAAAATGAGAGATAAAGCACAAAAAAACTGAGAAAAAAGTATGAGAAAAGCATATTCAAGGTATGATTGATTATATCTAGGATTTTTAGGGTCTTTCTCTTACATTGTTATACGGAGGTAGACACTATTTCTTATTTTTTATTCATTATTTTTTCTAATAATTCCTGGTATTTAAACTAAAATTTGAATATATAGTGTCTCAACATCTTCAATAAGGAAAGGCTTTGCAGAAAAATCAGGCAAGGATCTAAATTAAGAGCTTAATGCCATTTACTGTTTTACTCTTTGTAAAGTGATGATTTTTATAAAAGGGAAGTTGATCTAAAGCACTAAAAAGCAAGATATTTTCCAAAGAAAATAAAGTTGAAGAAATGAATAGAAGTCATCTAGATAGAGTCAATTTTATGCTTTAAAATGTAGCTCTTAATAAAGAGTTTTTGACAGATGTCCATGGTTTTTGACAAATGTAACTTCCACTGACTTCCAAACTTTATAACAAGAGTGGTTAGGCAAAGCTCTAACTATTATGGTTCTGGGCATTTTAGTTTTCTAGGTTGTGTATGGTAGTGATAGCAAAATTAGAACTGGGGGAAGAGATGTACATATTTCTTAAGTATGCTTCACAAGTTAAATAATACAAGCTATGATTATTAGAGAGGACATGTGACTCTAATGAGACTTCCAAAATATTGGATGCCATATCTCATGAGGATGTTGATAAGGTTTTAGGTTCTACGTAGAAGGAAATTGATTTTCTATGAAAAAATCATACTTGGGAGTACATAGAGACTCTTAAAGATAAGAGAGTCATTGGCAGCAAATATCAATGATGTTAAAGTAAACGTACAATGGCAAAGGGCTATAGTGAAGCTGAAGATATTAATTATAATTGTATTTTTTTACATATTGTCAAAAATGGTTTTGTTCATTTTTTTATCTTTAATTGTATCAAAATTACGAGCTATAGTAGATGAATGTCGAACTAGAATTATGTCATTTTTAAGAACTTTATTTGCAGAAATTTCAAGGTTTTCTTGTAGAAGAAAAAGAGAATCATGTATGTTTTTATGTTTGTCTCAAATAATATCCAGAAAAGTGGTATAGTAGATCTAATATATTTATGATACAATATAAATTCTAATGAGGTAAATTTTGGCAATTATATTTCTATCATAAAGTTGGTAATTAATTCTTTCATTTTATGTTGTCTTATATTGACTACATGTTTATGCAGCAGAAAATAGGACTAAAATTAGCAAAGCTGAAAATTTTACTCAATACTAAATATGGGTTGAAAGATTTAAAAGTGGCAAAGATTTGACTTAGGTTAAGTAAAAGGTACTATGACATTTTTGGAAGCCAACATTACCACTTTAATCTCTGAAAGGAGGAGAAAATATGTCACATCTATCATATTCTAACATAGTAGGCAGCATGTTATGCCTCATGGTTTACCACAAGCATCATGTATTGTTAACCTATAATAGTATAAATACAATGAAGTGATTTTTTAAAATACTTGGATGATATGATTAATACATATTTTGAATTTGGTAAAACTTGTAAAACTATGACAAGTTTTGTTGATTCATATTTTGCAGAAAATTTGGATTACAACAAGTCACTCATTACATTTAGAAGTATTTTGCAATGTGCTACTTTAATATTGATAACAAGATAATTTTAAGTGAAATAAGATAAAAGTATCCAATATTATGATTTTCTTATTTCAATTTATTTTCAAATTCAATAAACACATTCCTATTTATAATAACATTTAGTTATTAGTTATTCATTTTTTACTCAAGATAAAAAGATAATTTGGCTAAAGACAAGGGTAATTTGTCTTTATATGTTAATGAGACAGTCCTAGATCATCATGTCCCCATCTAGATTCATCAACTTATCTGAGATATAAAGTCCCCTCCCCTTATTTTTCCTATTCATCTCCTCTCCATCCTCCTTGAGCTCTCTTTTCTTGAAATTCCTCTCTTCTCTCTCAATTTTTTCTTCTAGGATAGGCATGAAATCATTCATTACTCTTCCTTAGCATTTTAAATTTTTTGTTTAGTTTTTTTGTTAATCTTTGTGGCTTTCCTCTTCTCCCTTTCACTCTTTCTACCTTGGTGATAGATGGGAAGATGAGAAGAAGTCTTCAATTTTCTTATGTTTTTGGCATGTGCCTCCTCTCACTCCATCTCTATTCTCTATTAGTTTGTCTTGTACTCATTCACACAGTTATTCTGACATTCTCCCATCCTTTTGTTCCATTCTCAACTTTTCATTTCCATCTGACACCAGCATCCTCCCACTAGTGACTTTTCACCTTTATATAAAGTTTTTCCTCTTTTCCTCTTCTTTCTTTCTCTCCTTTTCACTATTTTTTCATTATAAAATGATACTTTTTCTATTTTCGATCAGCCTTTGTTTTTATATTCACTAGAAATTTTGATTTTCTCAAATCAATGAGTGACTTTCTTTGGCATGAGTTCTTGAATTTTCCATTGAGCTTTCACTTTTCTTGAATCATTTTCTCTCTCATCTTACATCTAATCTTCTAATCACTCCTCTACTTTTATTTTCAATCTAGGTTTTGTTCCATTTTCATTTAGTTCATGAGAAATATTGATCTTTCTAGCAATTACTCTCTCTCTCTCTCTCAACAACTCTTCTAGTAGTGAACTTCTCTCTCCACTCACATTTTTTCTTTAGTTTCCAACTATTTTTCTCTCCTCTCATTTGTTCTTTTCTTGCTTATCTTCACATTTTAAAAATTACTTTTCAGTATTTTTCTTTCATTTCTCCTCACCTTTTGCTGAAAATCTCTCTCATTGGGAAAAACCTTCTATCAATAAAAACTCTCTTGATCTTGATTTTCCTTTTATTTCTTTTTGCCTCTCCATCTCTTTCATGTGTCATGATTAACCAGTCAACTCCTTTTAATGGGTTGTCTCTTCTATCTTCTCTCGTCACACTATTCTACTTCTTTCTTTTTCATATCACCCCCTTTCTTGTCTCTCCAAATTTTCTCTTTCTCACTTATTTCCCCTCTCTCCTATCCCTCTTATGTTGAAGTATTATATATATGAGATTTGATGATGATAAAAAATATTAAAATATGCCTAGTTCTAGATATATATGATAAAAGAGTAGACATGAAAGTATTCAAATAGAGTATTAAATAATATTTTAAATGTTCATATGATAATTTATGAATATACTTATGACTGGTACTACATAATTTATGTATTTAATTGATTTCATTGCATAAAATTATCATGTTACAAATTGATTTGAAAAATCTTAGTATATACATAAACTATCATGATGAGAAATCAAGTAATTGTGTCACTCAAATTTATTGATGCATTTAATTTCAATACTTACAAGTGGAAACTTTAGCTATGAATAATTCATTTAATATTTGTTCAACCGTACATATACATGATGGCTGTTTTTAACATGAGTTAAATATTATTGACAAACATTTGAATTATATATTGATGATTCTCGGTATAAATCCTATAACTAAGAACAAATGGAAGGAGATACATTCTTCAGATATACTAATATATTAAGATAGTGTTCCATAGTATTCTTGACTTGTAAGTGTAGAATAACTTGTATCACATGATTCATTAATTTCACTTAAGGATCTTATCTGTTTTAGAGGATTTTATGGATCTAAACTTGAGTAGTTGTGGCAATTAAAATTATTAGAATTTCTTGAAGCCTCTCTCCAAGGTGAGCTAGATGATGTAGGAACTTGAAATGTCGATTCTTATTAGAGTTATATATATATTTCTATTTTCATAAGAACATATTTGATGAAATAAATTTTAGCTCTAATTTTAGTTACTATTATCATCTAATATAACATCATAATAAATTAATAATTTCATATTTTTAGGATTACATAAACAATAGCCCTTATGCTCATTGCTATAGTAGAGAAAAATAAATTTATAGCCTTTCTTATTTATTTTTTCATGATTATCAGCATTAATTCATGCATATGAAGCACAATCAAAAAGTTTCATATGACTATAACGTTTGACTTACAATGACATCATACATCAAAGAAGTTATTCATGATTATCTTTTCAAAAAAATATTCAAAAGATAAGTAGATGTTGTCAACTTTAGCCCAAAATTTATTTGGAAGATGCTTCTCACAAAGCATATATTTAAAGCCATCTCTACTATTATTCTATTTCTAGCAACAATTTTTCTCTAGAGTCTTCAAACATTTAGCTGCCTTTGATTGCCATAATTTTTACAAAATAACTCAACTTATTAGATATAGACTTGCATTTGAATCAAATGGATCAAGTGTTTGAATGAGAAAAAATACCCAACTCATGTGTGTAAAATTATGAATAATTAATAGAAAATACAAACCACGTATGGAATCCTCCTCAGACCATATATATCAGCATGTAATGATTCACTAGGAAATCTTGCTCTCCGAGATTTTTCTATTAGAAAGAATAATTGGTGTTCTTTCTGTAAGCACACTCTTCACACCATTCATTATTTGCTGAAAGAGAGAGTAAATTTGAAACTATATACTTATATTATAATAATTTTATTGTATTAAATTTTAAATATTTATAGTGCAAATGTCAAAAAAAACAATGATCATTCTCTTTAGTAATCAGCTTAATTTCAATACGTTTTAAAATTTCAAGAGAAAATATCATATTTTCAACCCTTAGGAATCAACATAGGAGCCATGTCATTTTTATTATACTTCATAACACATTTACCATCTTCAAAATGAATAATATATCTACACTTCAACAATTGACCCACACTAATTAAATTGTGTTGCAATTTTAGAAGAAAATATACATCATAAATGAAAGTATTTGTTCCTGATTTGGTATGAAGAGCAATTGTACCAATGTCTTCAATTTGCACATTATTTTCATCACTAATTGTAACATCACATTTCATTGGTGTATCAATATTCTGAAATAAAATTTCTTTTCCCATTATAGGCTTGCTGCAACCACTATTAACAAATTAGATGTTCAATTTACTTATAATTGAAGATCCAAAAGTAAAAAATAAATCATTTTGATTCTTCTTGTCACAACAATTTGTTTTAATATGCCCATGCTTTTAAAAAAAATCAAACATTGTCTTAGAAATCTCATCTTCAATATTTCTTGTTATTTTGTCTCATCCCAATAATATGGTTCAATATGTACATATTTCTTACAAAATCGATATTGCATCATCTTATAATTTGATTTTTGATTTTTATTATTTTCACAATCATGCCTTTGTTGTCCATAATTAAATCTATCTTGACCTTTTCTACAGCCTTAGTTATGATATTTACTCTATCCCTATTACTATTATCATGTCATTGATTAGAAGTAACTACACCATTTGAAAATGTTTCTCTAGAATTTTTTCCATACGTCTTTCATCTTTTCTTCATGTGTCCATAAGGATCCCATTAATTCATTTTGAGTATAAATACACAAATCTTTAGACTCTTCCATAGTAGCAACAACACGATGAAATTTAGATGGAAGACTTCTCAAGAAAAATTCAATAATTTTCTATTCTGAAATATCTATGGTATTATTCTCGATTGATTAATGATAATTAAAAAACGAGAAAAAAAAATCTAAATAGATTTACTAGATTTTATATAAAAAAATCAAATTCCCTACAAAGAGTTTGAAATTTTAAAGCCATCTTATGGCATTAAAAAAATATCTGAATTTCTTTACCATCATGTTTAGGACTCTTTCCTTCTTTACAACCATTCTCTACTAAATCTCTTAAGTCTTGTGAAATAAAAAATATTTTCATCTTAATACTTAAAAAGTTGTAGTTTATTTCATTAAAAGGACATAACATGCTAGGAGAGGTTGAGGGGGTTGATTATGTGTTGGTTGTCCTGTTTTAATGCATGAAAAATAAAAATATTTATTTATGGACCTTCTAAATGAATATTAGTGTAAGTTCAGGTCGTACCTCAAGGATGGTGAGAGTTAATTTTAATAGGTTTATAATTTTCTAACAAGGAAGATGATTCAAAAGAAAGGAATAAAAATGAATGGGATGAGATGAATGATAAAACATTCTTTTCACTACTTACAATCCTCTTCAGCAATTAATTTTGGTTTCTATTTTTCTTATCATCTTCAAATAAAATAAAAGAGGGTTTTAATGGTGAGAAGATTAAATCAAGAATGCAAGAAAATATATTATAAATTATGGTATGAAAAGAGGGGAAGGGCAACTTTCACTTGAGTAGATTCCATTGACTTATGAATATTTTGAAATATTTGAAGTGAAGATCCAAAATAAATTCAAATTAGTGAACTAAAAATATACCTTGGTTGTCAATAATAAACTAGAAAAAAAATGCTAAAGTAAATCAAAGTTAGCAATCATCACGCAGTAAGAGTCCTTAGAAATTTTTTGATTAAAATATTAATATTTAATTAAATATTAGAAATTTGAATGGAAATATTTTTCTTTCATTGTCTATAACCCAAGGACAATAAAAGATAGTGCAATAAATTATAATTAAAATTTAATTAAATTTTCAATGATGAAAACTTAGAATGAAATGAAAGATCTCTCCTTTCTTTGTCTATCACCCAAGAAAATGAGAAGAACATAACATTTAGATTAAATAAAATCGAGAAAGGTTCTTTTTGTTCAATGTTTGTCACCAAAGTACAGAAAATAAATGAAATAACACAGTAATACAAAATAAAATTACAAATAACTCTATTGAACACAATCAGCTAGTCTTGAGATCTACCTTCCTCTTCACCTTGCTCTTCAGCCTTCTTCCTTACCTTTGGTCCGTCCACCAATTAGTCAACCCTTTCTCTCCCTCCTTTCCTTCTTTTTATTGCTGCCAAGGGTTATGGCTTGATGACAGTTATATCCTAACTACCTATTGCATAACGACCTCCGATTTTAGTAGAAAATTGGTTGTTTCCTTGATCCTAAAAATTTAATATTTCTTCTCAGCATTAAAAAATAAAATAAGCTCTAATAAAGTAGGTTAGAATAAGAAACACAATAAAATTATTTTTGAAATTTTTTACACATTTTCATTATAGTGCCCAAATCATATTTCCTTCAAAAAATTGACAAATATGTTCATGCATATCTCCATACGTTCATTCATAATTTGAACTGGAAAAATTATCAAAAATTGTTAAATAGAATAATAGTTTATTAATTATATTTATCACCAAATTCATATCATTTCATGAGAATCACATGACATTTACATTATTTTTACCTTACTTTGCATCTGAAAATGGAACATTATCGAGGGTTAACATTTGTGAGACCCAAGGTCAACGGTATTACCTCTTAACAAAAACTTTACACAAAACTTTCACACTCCTTGCTACGACAAATAAATCTTCACAAATGCTTTAAAACTTCAACAACTTCATTTTTAATCTCTTTAATGTTGCTGCAATCTCCATGACAAGAAAACAGCCAATACATGAATTGGGTGACGAAAGAATGGTGGACAAATATGGTGGATGGAGTTAGAAAGGCAATAAATTGAAGACGGGTAGCAGTGGTGGCAAAGCAAGATGGCGGCGAATAGATTGCCACCCTCTCAACCTCTCCTTTCCAAAGCACAGCTGGTTTACCCTCACGGCCTCTCCTTGATAGAGCAAAATAGGTAAACTTTACAAATTATTCTCTAGTCTTGTTGTAGCATTATGAGAGTATTTTATAAGACTCTTGTTGTAGCATTAAAGGAAATCACTCTTAAATGGGCTTGGGCCAGTGCACTATCAACGTTGTCATTGGCTCCCACTCCTTTGTTCCTCCTTTACTTTCCCAAAGTGGGAAGAACTAGATTCTGTCGAGTGTGCATAGATCCATACTAATAATGCTGGAGAGGACTTTGGTCAATGTGTTGTAGCTCCTCCTGAGAGACTTAGATTAAATGGACTTAGATTCTACGTACTTAGATTCACAAGAAAATTAATTAAATGGATCAACTCCAAGAAACCCCATTCAATTTTACAAAGTTAGAAGGTTACGAATCTTTAAATTAACATAAAACCTGTATAGATGTGTTCAATCAAGATTTTTTTCCCTCTCATAGAGAACACCAGTTTAACTGGCAATATCAGATTCTAAAGACTAATCTACTCTAATCAATGGGGACAGGTGTTCCGACAAATGATGAACAAGAACAGGATAAACAAATTCAGAAAGTTTTACCATAAACAGACCAATCCACAACATGCTTCCTTAAAGAAAGTTATGGTTTCTAGAGGGATAAAAGGAAATACTCGAGGAGAGAATTTCAAGATTTACTGTTGCAAGTCAAGCCGACTAGTAGGATAACTTATGGCCCCTGATTGATATGTACTTCTTGACAAAGATGTGAATGTTCTCCGCACAGGCCTGAGCCTGCGGTGTCCTCAGCAGCTTCTCCAGCATCGCAAACTCATGGGCTGTTATTGTACTCAAAAGCCGAGACGTCCACATTCACCTTCCACAACTCCAAGTAGCTGGTGGCTTGGTCCCTCATCCGGTCATTCCCTGCAAATTCAATGGCGGGTCCTGGGGAGGCAGGAGAGGGTTTGTGGCCCGGTGTTCCTGGCTGAAATCCTCACCCAAGAAAAGTCTCCAACCCATAATGCCCATGGGCTTGTCATATGAGTTGGCCAGTCTAATCTCTGAACAAGTAGGGATGCTGCCGATGAAGAAAGGTTACATCAGAACCTCTGCCACCATCTTCAACGGATCAAGAATTCTCCCCGCTTTGACTACCTTCTGGGCCACAAAACCTGCAATGTTGACGCTACAGCTCACAGGCAGCAGAACACATCTGTGTCCTGAAATGAAATTAACACAAAGTCATACCCAACAAGAATAAATGATGAGTATAAATAAAACTAGGAATTTTCTCTAAAGCCTAGGTTGTTCTTTATGAGACTCTGCGATTATTGGAATTTCTAGTTCCTTCGGTTAGATTCTTCTAACTGTTGTCCCATTTTTTATTTTTATATTTCAATGATGCTTACAAGTATTGGAGAAGGTTTTCAGCCATTTGGATGCGACAAAGATAATGTTCTAAGAGTGGAACTAAGGAAGAAATAGGAGTCCTGAAAAAATTCAGAAACGTTTAAAATCATATAGAAATGAAATGAGTGAAGTTCGATGATGATAACGGATTCATTCACAAATTTCTATAAACAGTGAAAAATAATTCTCTAAATTCCAGAAGTATTCTGAAAAAGTAATACTAGTGACGAAATAGATGTGTTTCCACGGGATACCCTAACTTTGTGAAATAGAACCAAGAAAATGATAAACAAAACGTCCATCAAGGAGACCTTCATCTAGTTCATTTAGAATAATGCCAAACTAGATTCTAGTTTGACCTTAATATATTTGGAAGGAGAAACTCACCGATACTCTCATGATTTCATGTCGGGATATGAACAAATACTGGCTTACCAGTTCCATAGATTTTCATGCCAACAAAGAAGAAACGTACCCCCTATTCGAACGTAATTTTATCACCGCATTTTATGATAATATTAAGGGTTTCATAACTTAGATGTGTAGACATTTGGGATATCATCTTTACTCTTTAGGTTACATAATTATTATGGGGAGAAAACTATGAAGGGGCCTTAGCAAGCCCTGAGTTGCGCTTGAGTTGAATAGACCTCTGTAAAATAGAAGTTTAGTCCATCATTAGGAATTCTTCGTTGTTTTGTTCCACATGATTAAATCATTTATGTTAATAGAAATGCTTTAATGATGGGGATCGAAGAAGTGGGCCAGCGCCTCTACATCGTCAGCACATCAGCCTAGGCCATTAAGACATAATTTCCTTTCTTAAGGATCTATTTCTTTATTTAGCATCGGAGAATGATTATGAATACTCTCGTAACATAACCATAGAGACGGAGATAGAGAGAGTCATTTAAGGTTTTTCCTCGTATCTCTCCGAAGGAGAGGCTGCGAGGGTCAGTTATGCAGCACCACCGCCACCACCGTCATCCAACATCATCATCGTCCACTGTCGCCTTCATCCGCCACCTTCATCTGTCGCCCCGGTCTTTCCGCCTTCGCCCGCCTTCTGCCCACCGCCGTCCGTCTGCAGTCAGTCGCCATCGCTGCCGCCATCCGTCACCGCTGCCACTGTCCACCACAATCATTATCTGCCGCCGCCTCCCTCCACCGTTCTCCAGCAACCAGCGTCGCCCGTCCGCCGTCCATCATCTTTGCTGCCGTCAATCGCCGCCGCCCGCTCCACTCGTTCCGCCGCCGCCCAATCCGCCCTGTCCACACGAATTCCCGTTCCCTTCTTACCGACTATGGTTTAAGTCCCTGCCGGTTTGTGAACCAGGACCTGCCGGCCCAAACCAGTTCGGCCACCTGGGCCGAGCCAGACCGCCTCCACGACCGCCTTAACAAGTCAATGATCAACAATACGGATCGTCTCACCATATTTGTGGACTCCATTGATTCCGAAGTCAGAACGTGGAGATTTTTCGTGGCGGAAAATATTCTAATCTTATAGCAGCCGAAGGAATTTGGTGAGAAGGGTTTCCTCTTCTATAAATTACGGCAACGGCCATCCAATGATTTCGAATCCTCTCCTTACGGAGTTCGATCCCTCGACGACCATCCAATGATCCCTCGAAGAAAACCGGCGCTCTGTATTCTGTTGCTGTCGCTTCTGCTGGTAGCTGAGATTGCGGTGGCGAAGCCGTACGGCGGAGGAGCAGGGGCCCGTGGGGGGCCAGTCGGAGGAGGAGCAGGGGCCCTGCGGGGCCAGTCGGAGGAGGAGGAGCAGGAGGAGCAGTAGGAGCAGGAGGAGGAAGCCGTGGGGGCGGAGGCAGAGGCGGAGGCGAAGGAGGAACCGGCGGCGAAGGCAGCCGTGACGTTGACGGGGATGTGTCGATAAGCGGAGGATCCCTTGGGTCCAGCTACCGCTGGGGCTTCTTCCTTCCTGTCGCCATTTTCCGTCTCTTCTGCTGAAACCTAGGTTTCCTTCGCTTCTGAGCTCGATTTATATGTTCTCTGTGGATGGATGACCAACCATCTGCGGATTCATTGACAGGTGTTCTCCCATGGAGGTTGCCGAGCATGCCGCCAATGTGGTCTCTGGCCTTTGCGAGGACAGCAACAAACGCTTCTTTCTTCTGTCTGCTCCTCTCTCCCTGCACCAGGTTTGGAAATGTACCGGGAGTGTTGGGTGTGCATGCATAGCCTGATTTTCTTGTAAAGTACATTGATTGAAATATCCTGGTGTTAAGATTTTATGTGGCCGAGTATCAATCCTTTCTATGAAAACCCCAAGATTTGAAGCTGGCGCATTGCCAAGTTGTGGTCCAAAGCTCAAAAGGAAACCAATCCATATCGGGGTAAAACTCTTGTACAAGATATTTCTGTATTCAAGTGGTATTCGAAGATATCGTTATTTCTTCATTCTGTAATTTGTATGGCTGCCGGGTTCAACTCTCCCTGGTAAAACGCGCGCCCTGCCTTTAAAGAAGGAAATAACATGCCAGATTTCTCACACGAGCTGAAAACATGCAGCCCAATGCAAAAAGCATGCGCTCTGTAGTTTGAGTAAATGAAGAATCACATCTGCGTAATTGGTCAATTATAGTGCAGTTACATTAAATCATTCTGACTGCTTTATTCTCAACGTCCCATGATATCATTTCTAAAAAACGAAAGTTATAAGCTCTAGAAAGGCCGTAAGAAGAACATTTTCATGTCTTCATAAAACTTTAGCTCTACCAGGAGGTGTCGTATGTGATTAGTGTGCACTTAGTGGTGCTATGACTTCATTACAACTGTTTAGACATTGTGACCGACATACTTCAAGGACAACAGGTGTGCACCCATCCCGTTCACTCACTCCTCGCTCAGTATATACACATGCGTCATGTAGATTTATCCATCAATCTCCGTGCCTTTGTTTTTATCTCTTTATATCTAGCTACTTTCAATAATGACAGTCATTCAGATATACGATTTGTTTCTATTTGTATCAAGTTACAAGATAACAAAACATAATCTTCGAAATAATGAAACATCTAATTGAAGTGTGAGCATGATCAACCCACGTTAGGTTCGATCATGACACATCTAAACACATAAATTCCATTGTGACTGTTTTGTATTATATGTTAAAAGTTACACATGCAATATTTTTGTCACTTCGAATTTTATCTTTCAAATAACCTTTTTTGTTTATGCTCTCTAGCTTAATTTTGATTATTTTATTGTGCAAATTTTATATTTCAATTTAGCCACTTCTACCAGCTCTAGCTCAACACAATCAATTTCAACAAGTTTTCAGCTTTGGTCAATATTTCATGTGTCAAACACGATCTATCACTTTTTTAAGACAATGTTAAGATGCAAAACCAACTATACATTGATTTATAAAGGCTACATGTGAAACCTAGAGGGAGGGCTTGTTTTACCATTTGAAACTTTGGATTTGGTAAAAGCTTTGTATACATTTGCACAATCTAAGTGAGTCCAGTGCATTAGACTTGTGACAATAGATCTGAAACTTTTGATTTATAGTGGTTGATCACTCCAAAATGTCATAATAAAGGTGTCAAAAATAAAATTTATAATGTTTGTATATCTTCCTAATGATACTCATTAGTGTAAAAAGTATTCGAGTCAAACCACAAGGAGTTGCCTAAACGAAGGTGAGATTTAACTTCTAATCAAGATTGATTTTTTGATGAAGAATGAGATGAGGAGATAGAAGAGAGTTGACTTAAGCACACTAAAGGGGGAATAGATAAATCTTTTTTTGATGATTTTTCAATCACCAAGAGAAGAGAAATCAGGTGAGAAACAAATGGTGAATATGACATGATTGTGAATTCTTTAATCTTAATGTATGCAAATAAAAACTCTAATCTTCTTAAATCTTCTTATGTCGCCTAGGAGATCAGTAGAAAGATTGAAGTAGATTAATCTACTCCTAAACTACGTTCTAACCTCTCATTGTCCCTCTCTACTTCCAATGAATGCTCAACTTTGATGAATCAAAGAAACAAAACAACATAAAAGGAGGAGGATCAAAAGAAAGATTTAAAGTATCCTAAATCTGCTCTATCTCACTCACTCTTGAAAATGTGATCAATCTTGATAAATCAAGAGATCCACATACATCAAGAGAAGCAAGAGAAGGGTAGAAGGGTTTGATTATATCCTAAGATCAACCTAGTGTCCCTCTAAGGATCAAGGAATCAAATTCCAACCTACTCTTTAATCGGATCAACTCTTTCTCACCAAGAGGGTTTCAAAAAGAAGAGAATATAATTAAAAAATAAATTCATTCATTCAAAATAAAATGTAAGAGATAAGGAAATAATCAAATATATGAAAGATGCTTCTTTGGAGTACTCAAACGATCCTCCTTGGAGTTCCTAGATTAGCTCAAAGAGAAGTTCTAAGAGATTTCCTCTTCTTCCTCTTGGGCACCCCTCTCCTATGAATGGAATGCCTCCTCTCTCCTCTAGATTGCTATTTATTCTCCCCTTGGTTGTGCCCATTCTCAGCCCTTGGATCATAGGGGAGAGTGCACAGCCCTTAGATTAGATTTCTCTCTCCAAGGGCAGCCTAAGGGAGCTGGGTAGCTACTAAGGTGCCTCCTCACCTTCCCTCACCCTATGACTTATCTCAACCCTTGGATTGGGCTGATTGAGGGGCTGAGATAGTCCCAAGGGTTTTTTAATGAGGGAGAGGGGCGTGATGGTGCCACATACCCCTCCCTTTAATTAAGGAAGAAATAAACCGCACACCTTAAGTGGGCAGTTTACTTAATTTGAGGGGAGAGAAAACGCCTCCTTCTTGTTGGGCCTCGTTAATTAATGTGGAATGTCCAGCTAGCCCATGGCCTAATATGACTTGAAACATAATATTAAAATAAAGCCCATTACCCGTCAAATAAATAAATATAATAAATTAGGCATAAGGGAGAAATCAACACGGTAAGCCTAAACTCATTTATACATTAGTTGACTTAGGGCTTAAGAGATACATAATAAATCATTAAAATTATATGGAATATGTTCTGTAAATTAAATAATCATGAGTCAAAACACTGATATTAATTCGGATTTAATAGAAAATTTTGGAAAAATAGAAAAAAAATTAGAATATTCATTTAAACTTGAAATAAATCTTATAATAATCATCAAAATCCCAAAAATCTCTTAAATTCTAGAAAAATACTTTGATCATATTAAACCATTATAATATTCAAATCATAATTTAGACATCAAATAACATTTTATTTATAATTATTATTCATGTGAAGCATATAAATAAATAAATACAGATGATATAGAAAATATGGAAATTTCAAAAAATTAAACATATATTTAGAACATTCATCATAAATTATGCTTCACTTATTTTATGTATAGTTAAATGTAATTTTACATAAAATTAAGCATTAACTATCCAAATTATGTCATACTTAACATGAAGAATTTGCATGTTATCATGGTTAGACAGTCTAAGCCAAATATGCTTTCTAAGGATCTAGTCTCTTTTCTTTTTTCGTACAAAATCTGAGCACAAGGATATAGCTAGCTTTTATAAACTTGTAAATGTAGGTTACCTCAACTGCTGAAAAGAACTTGCTCTGAAGGTTCGTTTAAGGTTGGAATGAGCACATTCTTGGACTCACTTTTATTCGCACTCAATATAATTAGGAGCCTTATACAATGCAGTAAAGATAAATGGCTACAATATTCAATCAATTGCTTCCTTATGCTGGAAAAGTGTGGTTCATTGATGTGAAAGCTTCATTTTAGTATATTGATTATGTAACAATCTACATTTGGCATCAATATTTTATTCTAGGGACTCCAATGATAATGCTCGAGTACATTCTTATATAGGTCAATATTTTCTTTCCTTGCTATTGGAGCATGAATTTGCTTAGATGTTTGCCATGGTCAGTTCTTGCTTTCCAATAGCAACTCATGAGGTGCCTCAAGACCAATTCACAAAGACTGTACTTTGTATTTTCTCTTTTTTGTGATACGAATAAAAGTCTTCTTCAAACTAAGTCCATTTGGCAGATGACTCATGAGTAGTTCTTTAAAATAAGAGGAGAAAAAACATAAAAAAATATCTCTAATATCTAAAAAACTTCAATGGTTAGTATATGATTTTCTAGGTTTTGTAATAATAAGGCAATAAAAGTTAATCTTCGTGTGGCATATAAAGATATAAAGCAACATTTTCTTTCGTTCTTTTACTCTATCAACATCAAAATTGAAAGGGCTCCAAGCCAACAAAACCAACACTAAGGAGGTTCAAGTAGACGACTTTGCAGGAGGAGACTACCAATACCCCATAACACCGTAAGAGAGTTATAGGAATCCTTCCAAAGCTCAGAATGCAAAGACGCTCTCCTATTAAGGAAACCTGGAAGAGAAGAGGTCCCCACGCCGCGAGGGACCAGAACCAAGAGGGCATAGTCAGCATACCGCCACTCGTTATTTTAGGCAAAATACCTTCTCTCTCTCTCTCTCTCTCTCGCGCGCGCGCGCGCTTGAGGGTGAGCATTTGAAAAGTCTTAAGGGTGTCAAAGCCCCACTGCCGTATGTGATCGGGCAAAACAGAACCCCCACGGCACGTTCGTGTCCGTCCCGTCCACCTCCCCCTAGAGAGTGAGTGACCAGTGATATAGACAAACAAGCAATCCTTTTCTGGTCCTTACCATATCATACCACGTAGGACTTGGATATCGACAAAATTCACAGACGCATGCGTCGTAGGACTTGGATTCAGGAAGATTCGCCACCGGCTGGCCCCTATCCCAGTCAAGAGAAGTATCCAAGCAAGGGTACTTGCCGGCCAGCCTCGATTGGAGCTAGACAGAGAGAGAGACAGAGAGAGAGACGACAACTAGGCTTGAGATGGTGCGGCTCCGGCGCTACAACGAGGGGGCAACCAGGGCCAACCTACAGTGTCCCATTGTCTCGCAGAAAAGGCTCAAGAGGACACCTAATGTCAAAGAAGCCGGATGTCCTTCTGCAATCAAAACTCGTGGACGGCATTGTCTGAACACGGACGGATATTTCTCTACGCGGTTTCTTCCGAAGGAAAGGTTTTTAAAAGGAGGGAGGAGACCAGGCTGAGGAAGCCTGGCCGTCTCCGAGAGCCATTTCCCTTTCCTCCTCTTACTTATCCGGACGGTAACCTCACCGGAAAGGATATGGCGGCTAGGTACGCCACCACTGCAACGCTCTGCTTCTGGGTTTTCATTTTCCTCTCAATATGCGTTAGCTTAAAGGCGGTGGAAATTCCCACCAAACCAATAGAGGATGAAGCTGCGAAACAGTGGAAGGCGGCTAAAGAAGCTGCCGAAAGGGCTTTCGACCACGCAGCAGACATATCGGGTGCCTCAAAGATTCTGGCCGCCAGATCCGGAGTAGCAGCCCTCTTCCCGGCTGTCATCTCTGCTGCCGCATCGCTCGTCGTCCTCTACTGCAGCTGATGAAGTGAAACTTCAAAAAGGGAAGATGATAAGGGTAGGGAAAAGCGGGAGAAAGACATAAATAATTCAGGGAACCGTTATAGCTCCCTGTACGTTTATCTCTGATGTATCTACAGTGTCAGGTAAGCTCTCTTTATCTCATTCTCTGTGTATGACTATTTATCTGTAAGTGTGTACGCCTGTTTTTGTGAATTTCTTCTGGAGCTCGTGATATGGTCAGGACTTTAGAAGGATTGAGTCCTTACATCTATACCACAATGAATAACTGTCAAGGGCCAAGTGGATGGACACGAGGGTGCCGTCGCGGGTTCGCTTTGCCAGATCGCAGGGCGGACTTCCACGCCTCTAAGATTTTTCACTTCCCAAGTATGGTAGGGGAGAGAGAGAGAGGATACCTAACCCGGTCGACGATATATCAGAGATCTCGTATATGCCTTCAAGCTAGGAAGAAAAGTGAAGAGAAGGGCGGTGGGTCATAATGGGCAGAACCTCTTTTTTTCTCTTCATCAATGCTAAAACAGTCCAAGCCGGTTTGGGTGCCATTTTGGGTTCAGCTGAGAAAGAACTACCTGAGCTAACGTCGCTAAGCAGATCGGGTCAGAAGGCCCAATTTCACCTAAATAGTAATCAGAAAATTTCCCGTACAGAAAGCACGATAACCAGGGAGGAAGACACAGGAACATCACGAAGATAGTATACCCGTCTTTTCTATCCTTGCAGTACTGAACTCCCTGTTCAGACCCGCCAAAGCTGACCAGAGCATCAGCTCCTGGCGTTGTCCCAACGCCCCTGGTAGCGTCAGAAGCCAAAGAGAACGCGCCACTGTTGGCCGCCCATCATACCATCGTTGTTGGGTTTGCAGGCCCAAAAGGAACTCTCCCCCAAAGGCCAACCGCCACACCGCCACTGTTAGGTGAGCTCTCTCTCTAAAGAAGGCTGCCCCTCACACTGCCGCCGTTGGGCAAGGTGCCGCCACCATTGGCAACGGCCGGTGGCAAAGAGAACTCTCTACCATCGGTTGTCCATCATGCCGCTACTGTCGGGCTAGCTACCACCACCGCCGCCGGCAGTGGCCAGTGCCAACGAGAAACCTTCGTCACCACCCGCCCATCTTGCTGCCACCGCAGCCTCCTTCAGTGGTGGCTAGTCGGGAAACAAGTGAGTCGAGACGATCCGCTTAGGAACCCATTCTTCGCCTCCTTTCAAGCAAGGCAGGCGCCCTGTTTATTTTCCAAGATCAGCATCTTCTGATGGGACCATACTCCCTCAAATAACCAGGTCAATTCGGTTATCTTTTTTCACAAATGCTAGACAAAATTTGGGGTTTTAGAGATATTACTTGACAAAAGGTTGCTACAAATGGATCAAACACACCACATTTTCGCAGTAACAAAAACTTTATACGAAAGTAAACTAAAAAAAAATGTTAGAAATAGACGGAGTAAATAGACGGAGCATACGAATAGATGGTGTAATCTCACCAATCTGGGCATGTTTTCTCAGAATGGGATAAAGGAATTTAGAGGTTATATCATAACTGATTTCAAAGAGTGATACGAATGGATCAGTACCACAACATTTTCTCTCTCAAAGGCAACACCATTTAGGTGACGATATCAACTTTAAATTCCGAAACCATCAAATAAATCTGGGCCTACATTTCGAACCGAATGATGGCAAAATTAGAGGTCTTAGAGTACTTATATTCACAAAAAACTGACATGAATGGATCAAATCCAACAAACATTTTTTAATTATACAAAATTAGAGGTTTTAGAATCATTAAATTCACAGAAACGGCCGTAGATGGATTGAACCCAGAATTTGTTTCTCGCAGAAAACACCACTCTAACTTACAATATCATACTTTGATGGCCCAAGTCATCTGATATAATCAATCCCGACAGGCTTCTGAAAATATCATACTCCAATGATCCAACCCAATGTCCTCTGCACAGCCCTCTGCCTGCCGTGTCCTCAGCAGCATCTTCAGTATCAAAAACACATGGGCTGTGTCCTTGTACTCTAGAACTTGGGCTTCGGCATTCACCTTCCACAGCTCCTCCGAGTAGGCAATGGTCCGATCCCACATCCAGCGGCGACATCAACTTCAGTTGCGGTCCCCGGGCAGGCGGGAAGGGGTTTGCTGCCGGGTGGTCCAGGCTGAACTCCTCACCCAAGAAGGGCCTCCAAGCCATAATGTCCATGGGCTTGTCATAGGAGTAGGAGTTGGCCAGTCTAATCTCTGAGTGAGTAGGGACGCTCCTGATGAAGAAGGGTGCATCAGAACCTGTGCCACCACCTTCAACCGGCTCAAGAATGCTCCCTGCTTTGACTGCCTTCTGGGCCACAATCTGAAATGTTGGCACCACAGCTCACACATCTGTTTCCCGAAGTCAAATTGTACAAAGTCAAACTCAAATAATAGTAAATGAAGAGGTTTTCAACCGTTTGGATGTAACGAAAATAATGTGTTAAGAGAAAAACATAAAGAGTCTTCAAAAAAAATTGAAAAATTTCTAAAAATGAAATGAATGAAGTTTGATAATGACAGAAGATGTATCCACAAACGTCTATTGATCCCGAGAAATGAATTCTCTAAATTCCAGAAATAAAATAAAAAAAAACAGAAAAACTATGAGTAAAATTGAAATTCCAAAAATTAAGGAAACGTGCATTCGTTTCTTTTACTTGAGGTAGAAGTGTCATGCACAATGTTCTCTTAATCACAGAGATGACTCCATCAAAGGTGCACTTGTGCAAAATAGTCAGATAGCTGGTGGAAAAAAGCTGTTCTTTATGTGCAAATACCATGGCCACGTGGGTATGGGGAGCGAAATGTCTCAGTCAGCAATACTATCAACGCTACAGTGGAGAAGATATAGAAGCTCACGTGCCACCACATGAAAGCCTATCAACAAAAGAAATCTTCAAGATGACGGCGAAGAAGGGAGGCAAGTAGAAAGGATTCATTCTTATTGTGAAGATGAAATCCATGTCATGGATACCTGCAGGATGAAACTTCACGCAAACGAAGCTACGACGAAGTGTAAAGCGCAGAGAGAGAGAGAGAGAGAGAGAGAGGATGAATAAACAGCCGTAACACATTGACATCAAGGGTATAAATCGACTTAAGTGTAAAGCTATAGAGCGTTCCACTGTATAAGAGGCAGCAGCAAATATATTAGCGAATGAAAAGGTGACTAAGAAGAATTAGAGGGAGATATAGGACTTCCACGGAGGTGGAGACAGGAATAGCTGGATGAGGGGTCCTTGTCGAGTCTATGAGGGGAATGAGGAGTGCCACTGTGGCTCCAACTCTCTGGAAAGGTGAAAGACGATAGGGAGCTGCCCAACCCCAATAAAAACCCTCTCTACTTTCATAAGAAGACAGGGACTTCCAATCCGCGGAGGGCTTAAAAGGGTATATAAAATACTTTTTCAGTCGTTTTCTGGAACCTGAAAAAAGGGGCTTACGAGGCTACAACTTCCAGCAGGTTAGTTTGGACCGTTGACACCCATAGACTTATCCACACTAAATGTGGCGCATGTCATAGGCTAGGGCACAAAATGGCGTAGATTAGATCTGATTGCAATGGGGAGCAGGAATCGAACAGTTCTTCCTTGCATGGCCCTATGACACCTGAGGAAACGAACTTGCGTGTGATAAGTTTACTGAGCGGGTGGCAGTATCTATCAATCTTTTCTACGATTCCAACTCAGGCCACACACTGACATCTTTTCCCTGAGAAAAGAAGCTTCTGAAAATCAATTGAGGTATATCTACGACAGACAGTACCGGAACTAAATATAACGGACAAACCAGTATCCACAGAGGAACACTTTGAATGGAGAAAAAAATCCTACTTTCCACAAATTATCATTAATTCAGACATTTTCAGGCTTCTCCTTGTAGCTAGCCGCAGAGGTAGGCTTTTAAACATCCTACTGAAAACCTAATAGCCAAATGACCGCTGGTAACACGTGATCAGTCACTTGACAGAACAACCCTCTAGGAGTAACATCATTTTCGTGAAATTCACATAAAAAGCTTCAGAATTCCAATGGGTGAAAAGGTTCTCAAAAGTTTCTGACTACGGCAACCTATTCTTTTATTGATTTCAGGTCCTTTCTATTCCGGCTGAAGTGTTAAAGTTGAGCAATGAAAATCATACTGGAGGTGCTGACCTCCCCCTCTCAGAGACAAGAAGGTGATTTCACCGTCATTAATGTATCTGACAAGGTACGTCAGTTGAATTCTTATTTTGAGACTACTATCGGCATTCAGATGGTCTTAATTTCATGCTTGTGAAAAACTATTCAAACAAAGTTGTAGCCGGGGAAGTACAGTTTTACCGCTAGTATCAAACTACAAACGAAAGAAAAGAGAACCTATTCAATAGAAAGAAACACAAGAACAGGAGAGGTTGGAAAAGAGAACCCGGAAGGATCTCCATGAGCAGCCAACCACGGCTCCAGCATTGACGCTCCAAAGGAATCCACAATGTGTGGGTACACATGTGATTCCTGGTCTCTGCAGCCCCTCCCATCCCAACTGTGTCACCCCCTCTTAAGTTCCCCATGACCTTGCTAGGTTCGCCTGCTTCGCCAGCCAGCGGCTGAAACAGACGAGCTGGAGATCATCCCCCGCCCCTTTGTCCTCAAAACCGGAGGCGGCGGCTGCTCCGGAGACATTTTCTCTGTTACGGCGCTCTCCGTAATCATCCGAGTCAACGGCGGCGGGGAAGCAAGCGTCGCCAGAGCGGAGGGAGGAGGCGGGCGGGAAGATACGAACGGAGAGAGAAGTGAGGGGGTTGATGAGGGACAGGAAGAATGAATGTCTGGATTACCCTGACCAAGCGACCTAGACTTTGGTTCTCACATCCGATCTAATGGGTTAAAAAGAACTGTGTTATGTGTGAAATGTCTATTGTTGACCAGACGTTGACCGTTCACCACGACGATAGATTCCTACGGCTTCACGAATTTATTTCCATAAT